CGCAAAGTAGAGCGGCGTGGCCAGCGACAGCGTCCGGGCGTTGATGCACGCGCCACGCTTCACGAGCGCGTCGACGGCGCCGAGGCACCCGCTGGTGGCGGCGAGGCAGAGCGGCGTCGCGCCGTCCTTGTTCGTGACTTCGACGTCGGCGCCGACGCTCAAAAGGATGTGCACGACGTCCTCAATGTCGTGTTCGCACACGTGGAGGAGCGCGGACGAGTAGCTCTCGCTCTCGAGCGGCATGTCGACGAGCGCCTTTCTGCTGCTCAAAAGGGTCTTTTCAAAGACCGTTCGGAGCGGCACGCGCTTCTGGAGCGCGGCAAAGTCCTCGAGTACGATCGAAAAATGGACTTTGGTGAGCTGGTGCGCCACGCAGCGCGCCCACTCGGCCTGGAGGTCGCCCCACGGCGCCGCGCGCAGCAGCTCGTAGTGCGCCGGCGTGTGCGTGGCAACGATCGACTGGAGCGACGGAAACCGACTCTCCAAGTGCTGGACAAGGCCGAGATTGACGCGTGTGTTGTGAAAGTCGAGCGTCCGAAGCGACGGGTGATGACCTGTGATGGCTGTCTGCGCAAACCGCCCCGTCACGAGCTTGCAGTTGCGGAACGAGACCGTGTGGAGGCGCTGCGACTGCGCGTTGAGGATCGCTAAGAGGCCAAAGTCGGTGATGTCGAGGCAGTCATCGACCACGATCGTCTCGAGCGACGACCAAAAGCACGACGTGAGCACAAGGAGGTCGCGGTCGCAGAGCGAGCGCTGGCCGGTAAAGTCGATCGTGCGCACGTCGCGGTAGCTGTTGATGGTCGAGAGGAACGCGGCCTCGAGGTTCTTCGCATGGAGCGGCGAGCGCACGCTCAAGTCTAAGACCGCCATGTCCAGCGTCTCGATCAGGCTTTTCCAGCCGCGGCAGACGGCCTTGGCCACGTGGTGGTCCTTGACGTCGAGGTACGAGAGCACGTGGCGCACGACGCCTTCCTCGCCGAGCTTGTCGAGGTCGCTGCGCGCCTTGGCCCGGGCCTGGGTCGCGTCCGTCGCGGATACCTCGAGCGCTCGCTTCATACCTCTAAATCTTGACTGCGCGAATACAAGCTAGCCGTACCGACTTAGCATCCTCAACGCTCAAACGCTGTTTCGCCATGCTCAACGCGGAAGCCCCAATCTCCGGTAGCCAATCGGAAGCGGCGTTGAATTTACAACGTCCAATCAAAAGAGCCGAGATCTATTTTGCTGGAAAATCCAAATTTATTCTTGTCGAACGTCAAAGCAGCTGGATCATGGACGACCTCCCGACCTGGAAGAGCTCGCCACGCATGAGCACATCGAGCTCGGCCAGCGCCTGCGTCGCATGGAAGACACACACGCCGTCCGAGTCGCCTGCGACGCCTTTGAGCAGCCGGTAGATGGGCGTCATGTGCTCCGACGCGATCGCAAACACGTCCCGGCCCATGAGCTAGTCCAACGAGCCAGCGTCATGAGCACAAGCGATACATGCATCTAGTTGACGTACATGGAGCATTTGGTTTAGCACGAAGACAGCGCCGCGGCGCAGCGCGATCTGCGGCTCGGCCCTGCCGCGCTCGACCTGCAGAACGTCTTTGACGCACAAGAGCACGTCGGTCAAGAACGGATGGATCGCCCAGCGCAGAAGACCACAGACCTACAAGTCGCCAGCATAAGCATACATGTAAAGCAATAAAGCAATCCTATGCATTGCTCGTTCGACCTCGGCCAAATTCGAGAGGCAGCTCGCTCGGTACGTGGCGTCGGCCAAGTCGGTCGTGGCCGACGTCGTGCGAATCGCTCCCAAGTACGCATACACAAAGCCGCGGCTGTACGCGGGAAGGACATCGCCACAGCGCCGCGCCGTGAACATGAGCGCTTCGCTGAGCTTGATGCGCTGGTCAAGCGACAGTGTCTTCTTCGTGTCGGTGGCCGCGTCGAGCAGCATCGGGATCGCAATCGTCGGGTGCATGTCGGCAAGACTCGCGAGCGCCTAGCATGCACTCCCACATCGCGTACTTTAGATACCCGCACGTACTTGAATCGACGCCAAGAAGACGTAGCTCTCGGCGTCGTGGAGGTGCGCGAGGAAGAGCTTCGTGAGAGCGGCCACGTCAATGGCCTCTCGGCTCCGAATGAGTTTGTTCAAGCGCACGAGGCCGCGCGCCCGCAACGGCACCGACGGGCTCTGGAGGTCCTTCTCCGACAGCGCCAGAATGTTGGCGAACGTAAGCGCAGTCAACTTGGGCTCGGGCACTGTGTTCGCCGCGCGCGCCAGCAGCTGCAATCGGAGCTCCGAGGCCATCTCGGCAATGTCGACCTTCTGGTGCGTCGAGAGGGCCTCGAGCGACGGAAGCAGCTGCTTGAGCAGCGCCTCTTCGTGTGGCGACCGGTCGCGGGCACCGACCTCGAGGATTGTCGTGACCATACCGAGGCAGACGCTCAGCACGTCCATCGCCGTCTCGTCGTCGTCGTCGTCGGACAATGGCGCGTCATACATCGATGATTGCATCGACGTCGACGACGTGTACATGTCGATGACGGTGACAAGACACTGCAGGATCGACGCGCCGCTGCGCAAGACGGCAGGGCCCACGACCTCGGTGAGGGCGACCAGCAGCTGCAGCATCGACGGAGCGTTCTCTGGCGCCTGAACCACAGCAGCATAGGCGTCCATGCCAGCGATTGGCGACGACGAAGCGGCCACGCCGGTCTTGAGCTGCATGTAGCTCGTCAAAAGCGACGTGAAGAGATCGCCGACAACGTCGCAGGCTTCGAGCGCGGGCGCCTGGAGGAGGTCGACGATACCGGCGACGATCGAGTCGATCGGGTACGACGAGTCGAGGGCCGTGATTGCAGCACCCCCCGAGCCACCCGCAGAGAAGGTACATGCGAGGTGCGATGCAGAAGCGAGCGGCTGCAGGCTCGTGCGGTGCGTCGGGTTCATCGGGGCCACCGCGCTTTGCAGCAACAAGGCTGCGAACGGCGCCGCTTGAACGTACGCTACGCGTCAACTATCATCACGGACGTCGAGCTCGTGAAGCGACCGTACCTGCAAGCAGTTGCTGCACCGTCTCCTTCCAGTAGGATTTGCTAGCACGCATCGAATGTACAGATGGATAGACAGACGAGTGCAGACTACCTGGCGACACAGAAAGCGTAGAGCAAAACGAGCGGACGGAAGCACGGGGCGAGCGCGAGAAGCACGGGCGCAGGTGGCGGCGGCCCCAGCAACATCACTAATACCACGGACGACTCGAGACAGCCACTGGAATGCATCGCGCGCGTACCGTTGAGGGCGGCGAGGCACGCACCGAGCTCGTCCTCGGTGGCAATAAAGTGGATCGCATCACGGTTCAGAGACGCGGCACGAGGCTGGCCCTCGACGCGCAAGAGCGGTCCGAGCAGCGGCTGCAAGAGCGTCGTGTCGACGGACGCGAGCGGATACTCCAAGATGAGTTGGCACACGATCAAGCCCGTTGTTTCCCGGAGGAGCTTGGCGGCTTTGGGCATGTCCTTGGCACTCAATAGCTGCAGCAGCTGCGGCGCGACCGCGGCAAGGTACGCATCGCGTTCATACCCGCGTGGGCAGCGCGCAATCTAGCACCAAACACGGCATTTGTACAGTGGCCAACGATCAATGTATCAATGCCGTACGAGACTGGCGACGTGCATGCGAGCTTGCGTGTTGCCTTCGTCGACCGTGCTCAAGAGCACCTCGACGGTCGAGTGCACGCCACCGGGCTTGAGCACGCACGCCGTGAGAAGGAGGCCGCACTGGGTCTTGAACGCCACATCTAATTGATTGATATAATGTGGTGAAGGCTCGAGAGGAAGGATGCAGTGGCGTACTGGGCGACCGATGGCACTGGCCCAAGACAGCGCGGACGCTGCTCATTGTGACGCGAAGGGGGAGGTCGTCGACGAGTGCATCGAGGAGCTTTTGGGCGGCGAGCGAGTGCGGGCCCTGGGACACGTGGCGCTCGTACACGAGCGCAGCAAAGATGTCGCGGAGGTACGCCGGCAGTAGCATCGGCTTGAACTGCGAGAGCTGCAGCACGTTGAGAAGGCACGCGACGACGGTGTAGAGCTGGTCGTGCGGCGATGCAGTCGGCAGCTGACTTCCGTGCGCCACCACGTGCTTTGCAACTAGAGACAATAAGAACTTGGTTTGTCGAGGAGACGTGCCATACTCTTCATGGTCTTGGACACAACGCGTTGCTCGAGTGGCACGAGAATGCCAGCTTCGACACATGGGTAGATGCCCCATGTTACGAGGAGTTCGATTGCGGCCTGGACGCCCGTGTAGTCGCGCAGACTCAAAAGGCACAGCGGCGCGCGCGGCTTGGCTGGATTCGCATCCGGCGGACGCGTGATCTATACAAGCGCTCGACTTCAGTAGGGATTTGAAAGCGTATTCTATGGACCTCAAGAGCTTCGCCTTCGGTAATTGCGGCGGCGAGGCCTTGCAGAAGAGCGACCAGACGTGATGCGACGACCGAGCCAACGTTGGCAAGGTCAGCATCCTTGATGCCCATTGCTTGCAGGATGTTGTCAGTCATGGCTGCCGTCGCATCCAATGGCACCGAGCGGATTGAGTCGACACAGTGGTTGAGCGCACGCATCGAGGCGCCGAGGGCGTCGATGGCCAAGCGCTCGAGCCCAAGTTGGTCAGCTCCCATGGCCATCGTGCTCATCGATCGCAATACTGTGGGAATATCCACCAATCACATTCCACCTTGTTCGTATCCGGTGCTTCCAGAGTATTCCGGATATGTGAAAGCGCTACCATACATGCTTGCTATTTAATTCAATGAAGCATTAAAAAGCAATCGAGGTCGAACAAAGACCTTGCGATGGCGACATGCTCGCGCGAGGATGTCTCCCCACGTTTCTCTCGTACACAGTCGAAACATATTGTGCTCTTGGGCTACAATGCCCCACATCACTGCATTAAGACCCCTCTCTATGTGACCTTTTGCTCAAATGCGACACAATTGCGTCGTGCCGACGCAAATCCAAACCGGTTACGCAAAGTGTCGATTTATCTTGTGGTGGTGCTGGTGGTGCCACCATGTGGTGTACCCTGAAGCAGTTGTCTGGATCTGCATACTCAATTCAAGGTATCGCAATAGACGTGCGCACCCTTTGGAGTTGAAGTATTTCGAAAATATCCTGCTTCCAACCACAGAATCGCCATGCTCCGCGTCGCGACTGCCACCCTTCGCCGCCGGTCCCGCGTCGTCCGCGCCGCCTTTGCCTCGTCGCTCTTCGAGACGCCGGCCACGCCCATGGTCCGGTACCGGTCGCACTCGGCCGTGCTAGAGAAGTACGCGCCCATGTACACCAAGTCGGCCAAGCGCACGCGCGCCGCCGCCGCCGACGACGACGACGAGAACATGGGCCCGAACCCGACGCTCAACGTGAACCGCGTCGCGTTTATCGGCGGCGGCAACATGGCCGAGGCCATCATTACGGGCATGATGACCCAGGAACTCTTGCCGCCGAGCCAGGTCCTCGTCTCGGCGCCGAGCCCCGGTAAGGCGATAGCAGCTCGAATGTCATGGCTGACACGGCTGCATAATCGCTAGAAACGCGCGACAAGTTTGACCAAATGCACGTCGAGACCGTCGATAAGAACAAGAAGGCGCTCGTGGGCGCTGACGTGGTCATCGTCGCCGTCAAACCTCAAGTGCTCAAGCAAGCGGTACGCTTCACTGCTGCATGCTTGACGAGAACGCATGTTCCATGATGGTAATAGGTGTTTGAGGATTTGAAAAAGTACCTCGACCCGAACGCGCTCGTCATTTCGATCGTGGCCGGCGTCACGATCGATGGTATTACCTGCCATTGCTGGCTGCCTCCAAGGTCTCATCATGGACGCGTAGCATACAAGAAGGAGCTCGGCCCGGACACGTGCATCGTGCGGTCGATGCCCAACACACCGGCCATGATTGGCGAAGGCATCACTGTCTGGGCGCAGTCGTCCAATGTCAGCGACGTCCAGCATGAACTCGTACGCATGCTCTTTCGATCCCCGACTCTTATCTTGCGTGTTTCTAGACAAAGAAGATCCTCGGCGCGTTTGGCAAGCAAGTGTTTGTTGCGGACGAGAAGAACCTGGACATGGCCACCGCGCTCTCGGGCTCGGGCCCAGGTACGTGGCTAACTGCACGCCACTACAATCTCATCCACGCGGGTAGCCTACTTTTTCCTCGTCGCGGAAGCCATGATCGACGCCGGTGTCCACATGGGCTTTAGCCGCATTGTGGCGCAGGTATTCCCACACCACGAACCACTGGATGCTCACGACGTCGCTAGAAACTGGTACAGCAGACGATGCTCGGATCCGCGCTGTACATGCAGTCGTCGGGCTTGCACCCGGTCGTGCTTCGCAACAACATTACGAGTCCCGGTACGTCCTGGCGTGAAGCCATATTTCGACGAACGTCAACTCGTATGCAGGTGGCACGACCGCCGCCGCCATGTACCGTGCGGAGAAGAGCGGGTTCCGCGCGGTGATTGCCGACTCGATTTGGGCCGCGTACGACCGCTCCAAGGAGCTCGGCGCCCAGGCTGAAGCCAAGTCCCACGACCATTGATATAACACAAGCAAGCACAGTTGCATGATGATTGTAGTGTGGCAAAATTTACTTGTCTTCCAAGTTGATGCTCGTGCCAAAGCGGGCGTAGAGGACCTTCTTGAGCGCCTAGAATCGCCCATGGCGGGTGAGGATGTCGGTACCTCACGGAGAGCACGTACCGCCTGGCGGGCCTCCAACGACGCCTCCTCGGCCTGCAGCTTCTCCACCTTGGCCTGGGTTTTCTACAACACCGTGCTGCGTCCGAGCACATCCGTTGCGGCATAGATCGATGCTACCTCAGTCTGGGCTTCGAGGTACTCTTGAGCGTACTCTTCCGAGACCTGCACAAAGCTTTCGCCAATGAAGAGCCTACGAGCAGCGATGAGCGCGACGTTCCCTGCGGCTCCTAGCTGTCGTACTGGACGTTGTCGCCTTCGCCCATCATGATTTCCGTGTTGGCATCGTCGAGCGTCTCGAGCTTGTCCTATTCGGCGACGACGGGCAGCTTGAGTTACACGGTGCGGCGCATGCTAGATCGCACCTTGAGCGCCTTGACCTCGTCGCGGACGTCGGCCAAGCGCGAGTTGTTGCGGCCGAATTCGTTGATGCGGTCCTGGTCTTCCTTGCGGACCTACATCGCATGCGCCCATGAGCCCATAGCGCCAGAGGATCGCCATCGCGTACGTCGACTTCGACTTCTTGTTGCGGCGCGAGCATCGTCTTTTCTTGGAACGAGTGGATTGACGCGAGATGCGTCGAATTTATCGACCGCAGCCAATCCCATTGCTTATGGAGCTTCTTTTGTCCAATCCTAGGCATTTCAATAAAATCGATGCCATTGGTTAAAATCGCGTCTTTTTCATGCGCAACGCCATTGGATTGGTCCAAATCCAGTAAGATCGTAGGACCGTCGGTGCAGTAGTAGTGTTCGAATGGTCGAGTACGACGACAAGGGGGAACGTCGTGACGGTCTCTTCGGGATGTGCAGGCGCGAGGAAGCTACATATTTAGACCGTGGCGTTGACACGCGTGTTGACGTCTTTCCCACGTTCCGTCGTGGGTCGCCGATGTTGACGCCAAGTTGCCGTCGTCAAATAGTGTACGTCAATGGCGCCAGCCCTGGCGTCGGTCACTGACTGACGATCGAGGGGCCGGTACACAGCGCATGTACCGACTGGTATTTTCAATCGCTTTCTCGGCAGCTGCGGGTGACACGAGGAGGCTGGGTGTCGCAGTCCAAGACACAATCGCATCCCTGCGTTGATGTCGCACCGGTCGCACGCCACCGACTTTTAAAGAGACGCTGCGGGCCGCGACATAGCCGCGGAATCTCGCGCATCCTTGGAATCCCTGGCGACGCTCCCACTCTGTCGACATCACCATTGCCGTCGGCTGCCCACGCGTTGATGATACACGCTGCCTGATGGACGGGGATCGATGATCGAAGCGGCATCTTATTGCGCAAACTTCAAGCGCTTTGTCCGGATACGCTGCAGGTCCTCGCCGTACGCCGTGCCACGTCAAGTTCTTTTGGCCGCGACGTTGCCGGCCACAAACTCAGAGCGTCCGGCACATCCTCCTCGGCGCGAGGCGCAATTTACACGGGAATTGACACGGGGCGTCATGGCGCCGGTCGGAGTTACACATCGCTGAACATGTCCCGCCGGCCGCCAAAGGTACAGCGCCGCCATTACTTCTATAAATACGGGCCGCGTTGCGCAACAGCACAGTACTTGGACAATGAGCGAGCGCTTCGTGTCTTATCTTCCTCCTGTGCACTAAGCCCCGGCCTTGGTAGGGCCGAGCGTGGGGCCAGCAGCGCCAAGATACCGCGACCATCCGGATACAGTGGCGAATAAAATCTTTTGGCAAAATCCAAATTTTGATCCCCGTGGCAGCGCGTCCAGATGGCACTTGGATACAAACATCAAGTCCATGCGGATGGCGTTGAACTTGCGGTACGCATCATTTTATTTTATTAATCTACGAACTGAGTTTGCAGTTGAGGTGGTCATTTTGCCTTTTGCCCAGTCGATGACGAGCAGCAGCAACGTGCACCTGACGCCAGGGGCCATGTCCCTCAAGAGTCCCAACCTCTTCCAGTACGAAGCCGAGAAGAAGAGCTACGAGTTCTTCTACCCGTCGCCGCACTCGGCCGCGCGCCGAGCGACCGCGAAGAGCTCCATCATGAACCTCGTCACGACCTTGATTGGCGGCGGCGTGCTCTTGCTGCCGTACACGATCGCGCGCTCCGGCATCGTCCTCGGCTGCATCATGATGTTCTTCTGCGCCATGGGCTCGAGCTTCACGTCGTACATCCTCGTGAGCTGCTCACGCCGGTCAGGCGCGCAGTCGTACGAAGAGATCGCCAAGAACGCGTTCGGGAAGCGCATGCAGGTCTTTACGATGGTGCTGCTCATCCTCCTCATCTTCCTCGCGTTTGTCGGGTATGTGATTCTCGTTCGGGACATTGCCGGGTCGCTCGCGTCCCAGTTCATCTTTGGCCGCACGCTCTCGGTCCACGACATGAACCTCGTCGCGATGGGCCTCATTGGTCTCGTCTCGCCGCTCCTCTTCCTCCAGAGCATGAACTCGCTCCGGTACACGTCCATTCTCGGCCTCTGCACGGTCGGCGTCTTTGCGATTGGCATCTTTTACCGGTCGATCGAGAAGATCAACTCGCCCGCGTTTGACGCCTCGACGCTCAAGTACGCGGCCGACAACGTCGAAGATCCCATGTACGCGCTGCCCATTGTCATCTCGTCCTTCTTGTGCCACTTCAACGTGCTGCCCGTGTACGGCGAGCTCCACAAGCCGACGCGCCGCCGTCTCAAGCGCGTGGTTGTCACGACCGTCTTCTCGACCTCGTTTTTCTACATGGTCATCGGGACGCTGGGCTACATTTACGCGTACGAGCAGGTCGGCGGCGTCCAAGGCGACATCCTCAACAACTTTGACCAAGACGACGTGGTCATGAACATTGGCCGGTGCGGCATTCTGACGACGATCTGCTTTTCGCTGCCGCTGCTGATTTTGCCGTGCCGCCGGACCCTCTACCGCCTCATTCAAGTCGCGCGCGAGTCGGTCAACGAGCACAACGAGAACCAGCCGCTGCTTTCAACGCCGGCCGACGACACGACTGAGAAGCCGATCCCGCTCCTGCCGCATGTCACGATGACCCTTGTGCTGGTCGCGATGGCCTTTTACTTGGCGTTCTCGCTGCCTGGCGTCGCGGTCGTCTGGAACATCATGGGCTCGACGGTCGGCATCCTCATCTCGTATGTGCTGCCGAGCGTCTGCTACATCCGCATCCGGTCCGAGAAGCCCAACTCGGACTGGCGCAAGCGCGGCGCGTGGATCCTCCTCATCGTTTCCGGCTCGCTCTTTGTCTACTGCTCGACGACGGCCATCTACAAGGTCACTTTGCTCATCTTTAGCTAATCGCACAAGTCGACTAAACTACTACGAATTACACTAACTTTGCACTCGCGTCGTCGTCGTCCTTTTGTACTCAGTAGTGCTGCATGAAGAACGCAAGAAGCGCGTCAAAGTTGTACTGGTCCAGTAGCTGGTACAGCTGCGGAATCTGCGGTTTGGGCTAGCCATGGAGAATAGTCGTGGATACGTGGCCCGATGTCTCCAGGATAGACGTACGTTGACACCGCGGAACTTGCACACGTCCACGTAGAGGTCGGTGAGGACACCCGCGAGGTAGTTGAGCGCCCGGGGTCGGGCTTTGAACTCTTCGAGGATCGTGTCGGCGTCCTTGAGCACGCTTTGGTACTCGGGCGACATCCACAGCGTGTGGTCCGCTTCGTGCATTTGAAGCTCCTACACATACAGCAGCGTTTGACTTGGATCTATCAAAGATCGAGTGGATACCTTGATGCCATCGAGGATTTTGACTTGGGACGCAATCATCTGCTTCCAGTCGAGTTTCGGTCGCAGCAAGTGGAGGAGACACGGAATCGACGTCGGCTTGATGTCGAAGCTAATGTCGAGCCCGATCTTGCGCGCCGTCGCCTCCTTGGTGATGACTTCTTTTAAAATCGCGATGGTCGAGATGGACGATGACGCAAACTGCGCCTCGCCCTTGCTACGCAAGTTTAGTAAAAAAGACTAGAGACAATATGTAGTGTCGTACCGGTACTCGCAGACGAGTACGTTGCTGAAGAACGTATTGCGAAAGTACATTTTGACGTCGTCGTCCTGGAGACGCAGCGGCACCTCGGGGAGGCAGTAGCTCACCCACTCGTGCACCTGGAGGAGCGAAAAGTCGCCGGTTAAATGCAGCGAGTTCATCGTTGCTTCGTCCAGCTCGGTCGACTCGACGACGTTGATGCGGTGGTGCAGCGAGAGCGGCTTGATGAACTGCTTGACGATTTGGGCGCAACGAGGCACCGTGTCCGCGAGCACCGTGAGCTGCAAGTATCAATATATCAATTTATGGACAGGGCACAGTTAGTCGGACCTCGATCTCGCCGTATTGGCCTTCCAGCGTCCGCACACGAAACTCGAGTCGGTTCGTAAACTCTTGGCAGCGGTACGTGGCCAGGACGTGCGAGTTGGTCGATGGATCGGGCGGCGACCGGCACAGAATCGCTTGGTTGTTGACGGTGTCCAGCAGATCGAGTGGGACGCTCGAGTGCAGCACGACGGTTGCGATCGGGACAGGTAGTTCAATCTACCGGTATATCAAGTTGATGCACATCATCCAGGTCCGATCGAATTACCGAGAGGTCGTAGGTTTGTTCGGCGACGTTGAGTGCGCACTTGCAGTTGACGGGCACTTCTTCCACGACCGGGAGACACGCTTCCTTCTCGCTCGCACTCTTGCGCGCAACGCGATCCCGCTCTTTCGCCACCTACCTCGTGTTTCAGCGACAAGGAGAGCACCGAGACAAGTCACTTTTTCTTCGAGCTGCGCGATCTCCTTGCGCAGCTTGACGATGCGCGTCTCACGCTGGACCGTCCCGCGCGATCGGCCGTACACATCGTCGGCGTCCTAGAGCAAGCTCATTTCTACCAGCCATCATTTCCAACAGCCAAATCGCACGGGTTGGTCCAATGGCTCGGACGTGAGCGAGAGCACGCGGCCCGAGTACGTGCAAAACACGATTTCATCAAAGCCCTACAATCAGCACAATAAGAAATGAGAGCGTGAGAGAGCGCTACCGGCGTGGAGAGCACGCCGGTTTGAAACGCGCGGACGCTCTCTTGCTCGACGCTCTCAAATTCTTTCGTGATGCCGCCCGCCGCATCCACCGAGTAGACTTCGATGCGACCGTCGTCCCGACCGACCTAGACAATATTGTCATTATGTATCGTGTACAACAAGACAATAGCATACAATGATCTCGTTCGAGTCGTCCTTGTTGATGTCGAACGACGCGAGCGCCGTGATGGCCGCCGGGCCGTGCGCGTTGCTGCTGTCGCCGAGCTGGCCGCCGTCCGTCTTCCAGATCGTCTTGACCTTTTGGTTGTTCCACTGGACAGCCCCAAACGCGCCATTGGCACTGCCATACAAGATCTGGCTCGGCGCCTTTCTCTGAACGTGCTTGGTCAACGCCATGCACGCGCCAGGCACCGACTTCTTCGCCAGCGGCTCGTTGCCCTACATACATAACGCGATACTAAGAAGGAAGCGACGTGCCATCGATCGACGACGGAAGCACCTGGATGAAGCGAATGTACTTGTCCTGGCACGCGAGGACGGGCACGAGCTCGTCGTTCTCGTCGAAGAGCAGCATGTCGTTGATGCGATCTTGGCACATGTAAAAGTGTTTGTCCTGGCCGTTCTCAAACTGGTTGTAAATGTAGTCGGTGGCTACGACGACCATATGAGCGCTCCTCCTCGATGGCCACGCAGACCCGTCCAGAGCTGCGTGTCGTACGTGAACACGCGGTTGATGGTCTCGGAGAGGTTGGATTGGAACTTGAAGAACTCTTTGCCCTTCTTCGTGTAGCCCAACACTTGCTGGCCGCTCGAGACATACGCCTTGTCCGTCGTGCCCTTGTACAAGCCCATGGTGATGGACGTGATCGGGTTGGTCTGCGGCACCGACTTGTAGATGACCTACGACGCTCTGAGCTGTGCGAGCGTAGCCTCGCGTGCGTACCACGGGGTCGCCCTTCTTCATCTGGAACGACGACACGACGCCCGAGTCATCGCCAATGACCAGCTTTTGCTACGGACGACGACGCTGCCGATGCGCAAGGCAAGATCATGGCACGTACCTTCTTCTTCTTGAGGCTGAAGGGCAGGAGCTTGAGCGACTGGCGGCTCGAGATCGGCGCCACCTTGAAGAGCTCCGCGTGGTTCAGCTGCAGACTCATACGTTTCCAAGATCCACCGCGAGTGGCCACCGACCGCTGCAGTATATAGCCATTTGTATACCCATACTCTGCCCGAATCAACTAAAAGATCGTGACGTGGCAAGCGGAGAGCGCATCATCCGGTGGCTGCAGCATTTCATCGAGAAGCGTGTAAATAAATAGCTTCGTATTGGGTTAGACGACGAAAAAGGTCTCGAGGCGCGACGCCTTCTTGGTCGACGAAGCCAGCGCCTAGACAAGTCGGCTGAGACTAGACGATCGCCATCACAAGGGTGCATTACCCCAAGCACGCAGAGCGCGTAGAGGACGATCCACGGAAGCGCAATGTAGATGGCAGGAAAGCAAGCGTACTCGAGCCGTGCGACGAGCAGAAGCGGCGGGCCCATGAGGAGCGCGGCCGCAGCCCACGACGCGACGAGCCGCATGACGTTGTGTCGCATGGACCCGCTTGTCCACAGCGCTCCCATTGGCTAGTTGCGACCTGAGGTGGTATTCCTCTAAAGAGCCAAGGGACGTACCAGGACGACCCCGACGACGAGAAGCGGGCCCCACATCGGCGCCAAGAGAACGAGATACGACCACGTGAGGAATCCGTCGAGGTGGAGGCCGAGAAGGAGCACTTGCAGCACGGGCACAGGCGATGCGCCGCAGAAGAGACTCAGTGCCATGGGGAGAAAGACGGAGCTCCAGTGCCAATCCACGTGATCGTCGAGGCGCAGGGCCACGGCCACGTGCGTTGCGACAAAGAGCACGCGCGCAACGAGCTGGCGCCTACACATAGCGCATGAATCGAGTGCTCGGGCGACGTGCGGGACGTACGTGGCAAACGGCGTCTTGCCGATCGGAAGCAGACTGCGAAGAAGGAGGGTCGCGTCCAGGATCCAGAGCCCGAGCAGCGTCTCTGTCCACGGACGATCGAAGCCGCCATCGAGCTTCCAGCACACGAGCACTACAGGCCAGCGCATGAGCTCCACGTCATCCTCTTGCCGTCGTCGTACATGGGAGGCAGAGCAGGGGCGTCGAGAGAACGAGCGCGCGTGCAAACGCGCCGATGGACCCGCGCGACGGAACGCCGGTCGCGAGCGAGAGGCCGTCGGCGACGACCGTCTGGAGGAGGCAGAGCGGACCTGGCATGGGAAATCCAAATCGAAAAATGAGCCGACTGCTCGACCTCTGCCTATTGGCGGAGATTCGGCGCCGCGCTCAGCACAAGTAGCTTGCGTCATGCGACCGCGTTGCGCCGTCTCAACGAGTTTGCTCTCGGATTGCGGTTGCTTATCCAAGGACTCGCTTCTTCGCCGCGTCTGCTTGCGCTGGCTACACCAGAGTCCTTGCCGTCGCTGGCCGCCTGCGGACAGACGCTCTTCGACGCCCATGGCGGGCGTAACCGGAAGCGCATCCTGGCATCCGGCGCAGGAGATCGCGTGTCCGCACACGTCGGCCGATGCAATGTTTGGCGGCGTCGACGTCGGCGGTGACACACCACGTGGCCACCCTCAACGTAGTACTACGGTACTTGTATATGCAGCTGCCACGTCATTGGACAGGCGTTGGAGGGATTGGAAGTCGCCACGTTGCCGTTCTGCGTTTGAGAAAACACAACATCAACTGCCTCGCGACTCGATCAAGAGCGCCTTTTGCATGCTGCTACTCTCGGACGACATTGGCGTCTTGCGCAATACCTGCAGTGGCAGCATGGGATTCCGACATCGAAGAAGGCGAAGTGCATGTACCGAGAGCTCGCGTTCAAGCCGCGCCTTCTCGAGCCGCGTCCGATCCAACGCCGACTTGAGCTCGACGTCGTGCCGCACGTGCTGGTGCTGTGTCGCAAGCAGCATCGCTAGCTGCGCGCCGACGTCCGACGCTTTGCGCTCGGCCTCTTCGACGTGCATGTGCATCTGAGAGCATTGGTGGTGCGCCTCGGCCAGCTCTTGCTCGAGCGCAATGATCTACTCTCGATGATAGAGCACTTGATATGTTGATAGTTTGGCGTGGACCTTGGAGCCATACGACGCATGGCGCGCCTGGACTTCCTGGAGCTGCGACTCGACGCGCGCCTTCTCGTCCTTGAGGCGACTAAGACGGCTCGCAGACACGTCCATCTCACTCTTGAAGCGACCTTCCATGCGCTGGTGGTCCATGCGAAGCATGTGCTCCATCTTGGTGTTTTCATTCTTGGCCTAATAGAGGCGCGTTGACAGGTCAATCGTCGCAGGGATGCACACACCCGCACGAGCTCGGTCTCGACTTGATCGAGGCGCGCCTTGAGTTCGCGAATTTGCTGCACGTACATGTCGATTTGGTACTTTTGCTTGGCCGACACCTCGCTCCGCACGTCGTGGAGCTCCTTGGTCATCGACACAACGTGACGCTCTTTGGCGGCGAGCGCCTCGTTGGCCTCGCGCACCTCGGCGCGACGCACCTCCAGTTCGCGCTCCAAGCCTCCTTTCTGGTCTCTCTCCATCTGCCATTTCTCCTGCACTTCGGCAAGAACGCGCTCAAACTGGAGCTCCTTGGCCACGAGCGATGCGGCGCTTTGATTTTCTTTGGCCAGCGCCTAGCGCCAGAAAGAGTGACGGCGCAGGCTTGGACACGACAGCACCTCGTCTCTGGCGAGCTCGGACGACGCGACCCGGGCGACCATGTGCTCAAACTTGTCCTACGCGAGAGTGGGGGCGTGGGTGGAAGCAAAAGGACATACCTGGAACGCAGCGACGCGGGCCTCGCTCTGCGTCGTGAGGTCGCGAAGGCTTCTTTCGGCGTCCACATGGAGCCGCATCGCATTCTCCTAGCATGGAAGCAGCATCGAGGCGCATGGACATAAGGCGCCACGAACGTACAAGCTGCATCTTGAGCGTCACGATCGTGGTTTGCGCGTGCTTGAGCTCGTCGCTGCGATACGCCAATTCGTTCTCGAGCCTATTCGTCTACTATCGCAACATGGCGTTCGAAGCGCTATCTACGTACTTGCGCCGGAGCTTCTCGACGCTTTCGTCTTGGAGCTTGAGATACTCGGACGCGGCGACGCGCTTCTGCTCTGTGAGCCGAGCGATTTCCCGCCGGCACTGCGTCTCTTTGGCCTTGGCCTACGCGCCGTCATGACGTGGACGTGTTACGTTTGGTGTACTTGATCGCGCTCGAGGATCGCCGCTTGCGCCCGCTCCTGACTCGCCCGTTCGAGCTAGATCACGGCGTGGGATTGTGCCAGATATGGTGGGAGGACGCACCTCTGTCACGGCGTCTTCGCGCGATGCGTACTCGCCGAGCTGCTTCTCCATCGACTGCATCACTTTGAGCATGCCCTCGCAGTCACTCTTGACCATGTCGAGCTCGTGGCTCGTCGCATTGAAGAGTTCCTGCGTGCAGCATATCGCATTCCATATGACATATGTGGTCGAGCGGGATGGACCTGAAGCTGCTCGAGCTGCTTGTCCTTTCCGTCGAGCGCCGACGTGAGCTCGCGAAGCCGGTCGCACACGCCTTGGTACCGCTTGGTCACGACATTTTGCTTTTGCTCGTTTGCAGCTTTGATCTGCGCCAATCGGTGCTCGTACTCTTGCACTTGGAGCTAGGCGACGGCTCGGTGTCCTTCTCGCTGCATCGGAGATCCTTTACCTCGTACTTGGCGACGGCGTCCTTGTGGCTCTGCACATGCGCCAAGATCGACTCTTTCTGCGCCTCGAGCTGGGCGATGGTGGCGGCAAACTGCTGCACTTGGGCCTCCGCGCGCTGCTTGTCGTGCTTCATGTGGTCGTTTGTATCGCGGAGCTCCTGGACCGCGAGCGTCGCTTGGTTGAAATTCTGGCTCATCGTGAGCAGCTGCGCGTCACGCTCCGCGACGTCGCGTCGGAACTCGTCGAGCTCTGTCTCTTGGAGCGACGCCTGCTCCACGAGCAAGCTGTTCTCCTGCACGATAACATTGCATTGGCCAACGGAAAGTAGTAGGATGAGGACACACCGACATGAGCAGCTCGATGCGCTCGTTCAAGTCGGCGAGCGTGTCGTTGACGCTCATGTCGGGCTTGCGCTGGTCGGTGAAAAAGTCGACGCCAGAGCGCATCGACGCGGGGACGTCCGACTGCAGCACGAGCTTGTCCATGGTCACGCTGAGCTCACTAAGCAGCGAATAAATGAGGATAAAAGGCTACGTAGGCAAGAGATGGAGGGGCGTGTACTGCTGGAGCCGCTCGTTCTCTCTGGCGAGTGCGTCGGCGTGGCCCACGAACGCATCGAGATCCCGCTTGTGCTTGTCGACCGTAGCTTCCTACGCGCGCATTGAGAGTGCAAAGGATGCATGCATGTGGTGGCGTACGAGCTCCTTGATGCGGCTCTCGTACGCCGCAAAGAGCGGGCTCATGTACTCCTTGGATGTGAACCATGGCGGGCTCGGCAGCGGCGCGCTGCCATCATCGTCGGCCTGCAGCGCGATTGGATCACAGAGCTGCTGCAGCTGCTCAAGCTCGTTGTGCTTGACAAGGACGCGCCGGAGCTGGTTGAGGATGCGCTCAACGTACTTTTTCAGGAACGCGAGCTCGTCCGTCTGCGCTGCGAGCTTCTCTTGGTAGGCCTCTTCTTGCGCCCGAAAATCCGATGGCACGACAAAGTCGCGCTCCTTTGGCAGCGGTGGAAGCGGCCGGTCGAAGGGCTGGTCACGCTGCAGGAGTCGTCTCGAGCGCGCTTCCTGGGGCCCGCCTTGGGGCAGCGACGGTAGCACCTGCATGCGATCTTGGGGCGCACTGTCACCTTTTATATATCGTCCTAAATAATTTTGATGGTCATCCATTAATAGAGGTTATGAAAACCTCTGAAAAAAGATATCCCGCTCTACCCCGTGGATAGGCAAGGTGGGACATGCGCCGAGGACGCGCGTCCAGCTGCGGCGCCTTGCGAAGCTTGCCGATGAACATATATCCTACTGCACAGTGCTTTCAATACGCACCTCGTCATCCGCCTTGGTCGCCGATCGCTGGCGAAGCCGCAGCGGCCAGCCCTTCGAGAAAGGTCATTGCGCACCATATGGTGATCAAAAGGCCAGCGTCGCCGTGAGCGCGAGGAAGCGGGTCGTGTGTATCGAGTGGGTCCTCCTCTGCAGCGGTGCTATTCGTGCCAGCTGGAAGCTGTTTATGCTTCAAGCAGTCGGGGCTTGGAGCCAGCTCTTGGTCGACTTGAACCCTTCGCCTCGGCATGCGCGGGGATCGGCTCGTCGTCGCTTCGCTCGGAGGATGCGCTGGCTGGCGGTTGGCCACGGCGCTGTTGACGCAAGGCGCCGCACGCAACCGGTTGATTGCTGGACGTGTCGCAGGTGTGCTTTCGATATTAAAGTCGCTCGGGTTTACATAGAAAAGCCCAGTAATTTGGGCGTAAACTGCATAAAATGCAATAAAACGGCGCGTTGCGAGCGGTCCTTCAAGTGCGCGCGGCCAAAGTTCGCCCGAAAATAGGTAGCCAATCACGAATCAGCACAGCGTCAAGTGCCCAATCCCAAGGCGTGTGGCCGAATCATTTGCTAGCGGCCATATAATTTACCAGGGGAAAAAGCCAGCCAAAACCTCCAAGCCGAGATTCTCCATTTTCAAATTCCAAGTCTTCTTCTTCGAGCACCGAGATGGACGCGCCCTCGACGATCCACTGCGACTGCCCCGTCGGCTCCTCGGAGCTCAAGCTCCATGGCGCCAACTGCTCCCTTGCGCTCCTCAAGTGCCCGTGGCAGTGGCGTGAGCCCTTCCTCGACGAGCGCCGGGCCAAATTGAAGCGCAAGGTGGGCGACGGCTACCTCTGCGACCCCGTCGACCCCGCGTTTGTAGACCAGCTACTACCTGGCTCCGTCACCAAGCTCTTCCGCGTCATGGAGCAGGACGAGCAGTCACAGATTCAGATCGAAATCCAACGGCTGAACGAGGCCAAAGCGTCGGCCCGCGACCGCACCTCGAAATGGGACCACGACGATGGCGATGTGGGCACACGAAAGGCCTTACCCGCCGGGTCGGAGTCGCCCATCACGGTCGCCGCGCCCGTCTGCAGCGGCGAAGAACTGGCCTACCTCGATAGCATCCTCCTCTCCAACGAAGCGCCGAATGCCGTCTCGTCGCCGTCGGCGATCACCGACACGGAGGCCATCTCGCGCAGTACGCTCGAGGAGCCTCTCTTGCAGCTTCTCTCAGACCGCTACGAGACGTACCTCAACTATGACGAAGAGGAGCTCAACTTTGCCGAGAACGACCTCCAGCCGACCCGTCAGCCGACTCGCGTCACGGCGTGAGCGACTGCGCTAGCTTAGAATATATTTATTATCGGCATGGCTTCACGCGCGCCCATGCCATGTACATCGCTGTCCATGAACACGAACTCTTCTTTTGTGCGTCTCCTCTCGCCTTTCGGCGCCGCTTCGCCGGCTACTACGCTGGAATCCACTTCCATATCGAAGTGGAGCTACCCACAGCTACTTCTGCCTCGATAAGCTTGAGCGAGCCATCGATGGCCACGCCTGCGCTCGGCCATGCTTACCAGCACCATGGCTATGGCCATGTCAGACTTGTTGCCAGGAGCTGCGACGCCGCCGCCCCGTCCCGCGGTTTCCGTGAAGATTCATGTGCGTTCGCCGCTGCAGGTGCGAGCTCATTGGCCGGCTTCGTTTATCCGGATACCGATAACCGACGGCTTTTCTGACAGGAAGATCCCGGCGGCGACGATGCTGGCCCTCAACATGCGCCAGCTCAAGTACAAGACGCTGGCCGCGATGGGCGTCGCCCAGTCGGTCGAGGACCCGTCCTTCGAGATCCTCTGCGGCGCCTTCACGGCCATGGAGGAGGCGCTGCCGCATCTGTACCACCAGGTGCTCACGGCCTTGTCGAGCTGCCATACCTTTTGCCACACGCTTGTCGCGACGTTCCAGCAGATCAAGCCATCGGGCAGCAGCTACTTTGCGACGCTGCACGCGCTGCGCGAGCAAGCCGAGGCCATGGAGCAGGCCGTGACGCTCACCGTGCTGGCGCCGCTGCAAGCGCTCATGCAACGCTGTGCGTTCTTGCGCCTCGAGCTGCAAAAGCGCGACCGGCTCGTCATGGACTACGACCTGCTGAAGCTCGACGTGTCGCGCGTTCCTGACGACGCCAAGCTCGAGCGACAGTACAAGCTCGAGCGCGCGTGGCAAGCGTACCAGACGTTTACGCGCCAGCGCATGGACGACATCCAGCAGCTCCAAGCCGACGAGGCGCAGATCCGCGCCGAGCTCTTCGAGATCATGGTACTGCACACGCATCACTCATTTCTCAATCGCTCCGTAGAAGCTGCATATCGCCAAGTTCTTTTCCCAGGCGCAAAAGAAGCTGTGGGACAACCTGAGCAACGCCACCCCCGACCTCCCCGAGTCGCCGCCACCGTCATCGTCATCGGCTTCGTCGCCATCCACCGAGATGCCGGCGCTGCTGCTACCGCCGGCATCGGCGAACGCGCTCATTTCGGCACCTTTGCTCAGCCCGTCGTCGCCGCGTCGCTACGCCGAGACGTCGTGGTTCCCGGGCTTTGTCCGTCGGTCGTGGTCGATCACACAGGACAAGGCTCCGGCGCTGCCAAGCCCGCCACGACCCAAGGTTGTCTTCTCTTCCTGCCTCGCTCTCTCAGGCTCACGGGCGTAGCACCAATCCAAGCCGTTGGCGCTCGCCCCCAACGAGTGGCGCGGCATCGAGAGCGCGCTCTGGGCGCTCGACGAGCAGGCCCACCCACCCACGACGCGATTCGCACGCGCGACGCTGCCACGTCATTTCGACGACTCGGACGTGCTTGCCATCGGCGCGTACCTCGACGTCGTGTCGCTGGGCACGTTTGGCATGGTCTCCAAGGGCGTCTACAACTGCATCATGGGTCGTCCCGCGCTGTGGCACCGCGCCGTGCGCACCGGCGGCGTCCCAACGCACCTTCGCAGCCGCTTCTGGCTCTGGTTCTTCTACACCCGGCACGGCCAGCTCGCGTCGCACCGCACCGACTACCAAGCGCTCTTGCAGCGCGGCGCGTACATGGTGCACCTCTCGCATGCGTCCGTCGAGGCCCTTCCCGGTCTGTCCGGCTCGTCGTATCTCGGATAAGCGTCATGAAGCTGCTTAGACTCGGACCCGGACGCGCAGCTCGTGCACTGGTTTAGCGACATTGACGTCGACGTGCGCCGGACGTGCTACAAGAACGTGCGGGGTGGAGCGACGACATTGCAGTTTGAGGACGACGATGTGTCGGACGACGTGGTCGCGCTGGTCGAAGCCGCGCGCGTCCAGACGACCCATCGGCACAGCCCGCGGCACGGCGACAGCGCGACGGTCGAGCGGGCCATGGCGATGGAAGCGCAGATGCGCCGCCTCCTCCGCGCCTACGTTGTGCACAACCCACGCGTCGGGTACTGCCAGGGCATGAACTTTATCATTCGGCTGCTTCTCGAGTCGCCGTCGTCGGACGAAGCCAGTGTCTTTTGGACCTTTGTGCAGCTCATCGAAGGCGCCAACTCCTTGTACGAGCCTGGGTTTCACGTGCTCCAGTCTCTCTTTACCAAGGTACCACGATCATCAATCTATCAATCTATCCATATATCAACGAATGCTCGGCGTAGCTCGATGTGCTCATCCGAGAACAGCTGCCCGAGCTCCACACGCACCTCGACCGCCTCGGCGTCCACGTGTCCATGTTTGCCGCCCGGTGGTTCCTCACGCTCTTCTCGTCGCTCGAGACGTTTGGCCCGACCCTCGCGCTGCGCTTCCTCGACGTCTACTGCATCGACCGGCACCGCGTTCTCTGCGGCCTCGCGCTTGTCGTCCTCGACGAGCTCGAGCCTGTCATCTTGGACGCCGACTTTGAGACGTGCTTGCGCATTCTCCAGTGCCCGCGCCTGTACCTCCAAGAAGCGAGCGATGCGAAGCAGACGCAAATGCTCCAGCACGCGCTCGTGCTCAGCATCACACGCACGCTCCTCTCGCCCGAGATATTGCGGTAGCCACCACACATGGTCCATCATCAATCCATCAATCGTTCGTTCGTTCGTTCATTCTTCACTCGGACGCTGGCATGCCCTCGCGGCAACCTCCACCAATAGAACGCGCGTGTCTTCTCGCTTCGTAAGCATTGATGGACCGAGGAACCTACTCGGTCGTCGCGACCACTTGCGTCGGCGTCACGCAGAGATGCAGGCGGCAGAGCGTGCAGCGCGCGCGGAGCGGCAAGCTCGCGATCTGCGGGCGCGGCGAGAGCACGGTGCGGACGCCCGCGTGGGTTTTCCAAAAGGCAAAGAGCGTGAGCGCCGAGAGGAGCGCGTAGAGACACACGTTGAGGACGAAGAGCAGGTGGAGCACATACGACGCGCTGGACCAGAGCGGCGAGCACCACAGCAGCACGAGAAAGCTCGACGCAAACAGCGTATAGTAGAGCCTGAGGTACAGCGGGAACGCAAACAGGTCGTCCCAGATGCGCCGAATGACTGCGTCGAACCGAGGCGAGTGCAAGAGCGAGCTCAGCAGCGTCGTGTGCAGGAGCCAGAGGTACAGGGCCGGCGCCTTCCAGCCAAACCCCGCGTACTGCAGTCCCGCGGCGAGCACGAGCAGCACTTTGAGGCACGAGAGCACACACGTCGCGTCGACGCGCGTCGTACGCGAGAGCTCGAGCATCGTCGTCGGCGGCCGCCACCCGAGGACGGCGGTCGCGTGCACGTCGCAAATCGTCGTCCGAGGCGACCGTTCGAGGCAACGGCGGTGGGCGACCTTGCGCGCGTGCGTCACCGGGTGCGTGCAGTGGCACAGCGCCGGCACCCACGACGACGTCTGGTGCTCGCCACACGCGTAGTCGACCTCAAAGCGCGCTTGGTGCGGCGTCAACACTTCGAATTGCGCGCAGAGTTCGCAGTGGTACAGGGCCCCGCCACCGTCGACGACGGCGAGAATGCGCTTCCAGACGCTCGAGGTCCATGGCGGTAGTCGAAGCGTTGGCGGCAAGACGCGCGCGTGGGGCACATCCCAGTCGCAAAACCACTGCAAGAGGACGCGCTCGACGCGGACGCAGAGCGTATCCGAAAAGAGCTGAGTCGACGCCACGTGCGTAAGGCGCCGCCAGGCTTCGTCGTCGTCGTCGTGACGGCTCGTCGTCACGCCAGCGCGGCGAAGGAAGAGCGTGTGCCAGACGTCGGCCGTAAACACCTCGTCGCGGTGCGCTCTCGAGGTCGACGCGTAGTGCGCGAGGTCCTGGAACGTCAAGAAATCGCAGAGCGTCAAGACCACGTCGTGTGGCCAGAGCGCCGTGACGTGACGGTCGCTACGGCGTCGTACGATCGCGTGCATCCGAGATGAGAGCATCGACTTGCGCATCCACGTCAAGAGGCACACGGTGACGCCAAGCACGAGCACGCAGCAGGCGAGGTAGAGCACATGCATGGGCGAGAGCACGACCGAGAGCAGCGCGTCCAGCGACAAGCGGTTGTCGACTGCGCACATGAGCAGCGCGGCGCCCGTGCCGGCGAGCGGCAGGAGACGCGGCGGAAGGCGCTCCGGCGGCGAAAGCGAGAAGAGCAAGACAAAATGTGCGGCGAACCCCATCGCGCCGGTCGAGACGCCTAGCCAGAGGTGCGCGTCGTCGTGCCACACGTTGATGCTGAAGAGGATCGCCAAGAGCAGCGTGAACGACCCGAGCGTGTAGCCGAGCACTTGGTAGAGCATGCGCCCGCGGTTCGCAAAGCGGTACGTGAGCGGGATCGACGCAAAGAGCGCGGTCGCCGCGCACACTGTGAGCGGAAACGCCGGCAGCGTCGCGCCGCAGCGCAAGAGCACGAGGTCGACGACCGCAAAGGCCGCGCACGACACCAACCCGAGCACGGGTCCCAAGCACGAGGATTCGATGCGCACATCAAGTAGCACGCGGCGCGTCGGCGGCGTCCGCGGCGGCGTCAACACGGGTGGCTCAAAGCACCGAAGGCTGCCGAGCAGGACCGTTTGCGCCACAAAAAACATCATGCCAATGGCGGCGACCACGCCGTGGACCTTGAGAAACGACGCGTGCCAGTAGATGACCGTGCACGCCGCGACCCACGCCATGACCGCCAGCGTCCACCCGACACCTACGATCGATCGATCCTCCGAATGAATAATGGCTATCGAGGGAGAGAGGCGGACCTTGGTAGACGACGAAGCGGAGCCCCCCGATGAGCGGTTGAAAGACGCGGTAGCTCGGGTCCAGCTGGGGCCCGCAGATGCAGTGTGTGCACGCGAGCCCAATCACCGCGACCATGGTCGCAATCACAAAGAGCACTTCGCTCACAAAGGACCACGCTGCGTCCTTGAAGCCCTCGGCGCAGCAAAAGAGCGCGAAGGACCCGAGGTCGAGCGCGGCGCTCGCCAACATGGAGACGCGCAGTGGTTGCATCGACGGGGTCGGCGCCGGCGTCGTCGGCGCGAAGAGCGTGAGCGACGACGCCAGCACGACTTGGGGCACGAGCATATACAAGCTCAGTGCAAAGAGCACGCCGGGTTTGACGTGCATCTCGTTCCACATGGCGCCGAGCGAGACGCAGTCAAAGAGCATAAAGATCGAGAAGAAGGTCCACCCGAGCGCTTGGCGCAGCACGTACGCGTCGCCGCCGCAGAACGGCTGCCAAAAGACGTAGCCTTCATGGAGGCGCGTGCCCATGCCGTGGGTCGTGACAGCGGCGACGCAGGCCGCGATCAGGCCGAGGGCCAAGCACACGAACGCGGTGCGGCCGTGGAGATGGAGGAGCTCGATGCTCAGGTGGAGCCCAATGGTGGCAAACGAGAGAAGAAGGCTGAGCTCATACTCGCCCGTCCAGAGCATGGACGCTGTTGAGAGGGCCATGGGCGACGACGACTCTTCGATCTCAAAGAACGGCATCGAGAGCGAGATCGCGAGCGCTGCAATCGACCCGGTCACGCAGGCCAGCGGCAGGACGTGCATCAAGAACGCATCGTCGTTGAGCAGCAGCAAGAGGGAGACGCCGAGGAAAATGCCGTACCAGAGCCACCCCATCGACTGCAGAAACACAAATTTCGAGTCGCCCACAAACGGTTGCCAGAGCTTGTAGCCGCGCACGCTGCGGTAGCCTACGACCATGCACATATTGTTGACGTCGTAGCGAGAGACGTACCGCCGCAGTGGGCCACGGGGCTGGCGCCGGCGAGCAAGAGGAGACAGACAATCCCTAAGAGACCCGTTCAATTGTCGGGAAAACGAAAAGAAATATGCGACAAATGTACCGAGCAAGCGCGTGTTGCCGTCAACGAGCACGTACAAGCATGGAAAGAGCGACGAGTGGCACACGAGCGTCGTGAGGAGGCAGGCAAAGACGGCAAAAATACCGGAAAGAAACCCTTCTTCGGGAATTTGCATGTAGCTCCACGCCGCACGCGGGTGCTCGGACGCCTTGAAGCAGTAGAGCGAGCTCAGGAGGAGCACTTGCGAAACGAGCCCGAGGAGCCCGGAGCAGAGCGCGAGGCCGTACGAGTGGCTCTGGAGACACATGAGGCACGCAGTCGCGACCACCATGCACGTAAAGAAGCTCCAGCCAAAAACTGAAGCAGCAGAAAGACCGAGCCGCCTTCAAACGGCTGCCAGAGCCGGTAACCAGGCATCTCGAGGACGCCGACGCAGACATGCAGCAGGACGGCCGAGAGCGCGAACTGGGCGACGCCCATGGGGAGGAGGACGCCGCCAGATGCAAAGAGACCGGAGTCGTACACAGCAAAGAAGATGGTTCCAGATAGTGAGACGAGAATCGCAACGAGCGCTTTCGACCAGCCGGGTAAGAAGGACCGCTGGACAAGTGACGTCGGCGTGCGCTCGTCGGGCACGACAAACTGATCGATGCTCAAGTTCAGAAGCGCTTGCGCGATAAAGGCGACGATTCCCAAGAGAAGGAACTGCCCTTCAAAGCGCGCGATGGTCGTAAAGTTGGCCAAGATGACGAGGCAGAGCGCGAGGAAGAGCGCAATCATAGACCAGCCAAACGCTTGCATGCACACAAAGCTGAAGCCGCCTTCGAACGGCTGCCACCACGTAAAGTGGCCTTTCGTTTCTGGCGACTGCGTGCCCGCAAGCAGCGTCAGCGGCCCGATCCATGCGACCATGAGCGTACCGAGCGCGAGAAGAGTCACGTCCGGCTCGGGCATGAGCTCCATGAAGAGGAAGATGCCAAAGGTGCACACGCTCAGCACGAGCGCGCAGACGCGCAGCTGCCAGCAGTCGCTCCGCGCGTCCCAGAGGTGGCGGCGATGAGACGGCCCATCACATGGCTTGGTGGTCAGCGGTCTCGCGGTCGGTTGAGCCGCTTGCATAGCTCCGATGTTGCTCGGATACTGCAACTTGGCAATGCGCTGCAAAAACCCGCAGGTTTCGGAAAAGATTTTAAAAACCTCTCATATTTAATACTCGCTACCACGAAATCCAAGCCTGCGGCAGGGAGCCGTGGCCAGGAGCTTTGGCGCCCCGTGCAAGGTCTAGGTTAATCAAGTTCTAAAAGGTCCTTGCAGTAGCCCGACGCACCGCGTCAGCAGTGCGAAGAAGACAGTCATCAGAGGCAGCATGTTCGACGAGGTTCGGGCGAGATGGCGGTTGGCAGAGCCTTGCGACTGGTCGGTCACGAATCCCATCACTGTGATCTCGCTATTTGAGGACGGTCCAATGAAAACGCGCCGCTTTCAGCCATAAATCGGTTTGAGAAAACGGACTGGGCATTTGTGATAGATCGCATGGGAGCGATTTCATTGGTTACATGAAAGGCGGTCCACGGAAAGCACCAATGGAGGGAGCTTTCAAGCAGGTACAAGGTCACTGATTGGTCGGCATGGTCACTGCATTTGCTCGGCATGCACACGACGTCGCTGTCCAGCATCCGAGCTGCCCCGTCGATTCGCCTTCACATTCTGCAGTCGCATCCATCGGAACTCGCACCATTGTGGTATTAATACCTGCGCGTTTTTTAATTGGTATTAATACATGCATGGCACTGCACTCGGCTGGATGAAACCGTATAACCTCCCACAATGAATACTCGATGCACGGTATACCCATCGCTGCGTCCGCAGCGCCACGCTGGCAAGCACAGAGAAGAGTACGCTTGCGTGCAGCTGAGCTGTGCAGTAGGGTATTCTTCGCTCGTGTCCGAGGCCCTTTGGTGATGGCGTCACGCAACCAGTCTCGTTGATGCTGCGGTATCCGGATACGGGAGGGTCGTATGCGGAAGATTTGCCTTGCGATGGCCAAGGCCGTGAAGCCAGGCAGCAGCGAGGATGCGAGTCCGCTGACGAACGACGAGCGCGAGATACCGATAGCGCTCAACCTGCCGGGCTTGGCCATGACCTTTGGCGTCGACTGGGTCTTGGGTCCGTGCTGTAGCAAACCTCCTCGACTGACGCACGTCCGTAGACACGTCGGACCTCTGCGCCGCACGCGAGAAAGAGATTGAGCTTCTCGCACGCGTCCGCGCCCTGGAAGACGAGAACGCTTCGCTGCGGGACAAGTGCCAGCGCATCAGCGAAGAGTCGAATCTCGACAAGTTCAAGAGTCAACTGCTCGTTGAAATGGTAGTTCGACTGCAATCGTGGCATCCACAGCAACGGCATGGGTAGCTGGCCGTGAGCTCGCTCGATGAAGAGCGCACAAAAGCCGAGTTTGCCAAGGAGCAGTCCAAGGTCCTGCGACTGCGCCACGACATGAAGCTCTTGCTCGAGAAAGCCACCAACGAGAACGTCGACGTCCGCGACTTGCTCCGGGCCCTCGCCGAGCCATGACTCTGAATAGCAGGAGCGTCGTCGATTACGCGGCTAATAATACGCAACGCACCATGACATGTTCCATCCGCCTGACTGACCGCCCTGTCCAGCGACAATAACATCCAGGTCCACGCTAAAGCACGTCGACCTCTCAACCTACAGAACGACGGTCGTATATCTATCTGTACATCGCATGGCGTCGGGTGCTGCCAGCACCACATGGAGGGATAAGACCGGCACGCGTTGAGCCGTTTTGGCGTTGAAAATAGAAGGCCACGTAAGGTCATTTCTCAAAAACAACGACGACGTCCATGGAGTCCATCTTGCTGCTGCGCTTGCGCGTCCAGGGCGACGCCGTCGGCTACTGCCTCCCGACCGGCGACTTTCTCTTCGCCACAATGGGCGCGCCGCGCTGGTTCTTTGAACCAACTTCCGAGCCATCGCCGTACGACGGATCGCTCTTGTACGGGCAGTCGATCTACAACTTTGTGTCGCCGCTCGACCGGCAGCGCTTGCACCAGTACGTCTACGACGTCCAGGCGTCGCTCCTCGAGTCGCTCGAGGCCGCGGACCGCCGGTCGCGCACGGCGCCGCATGCGATCCCGCGCAACGAAGCCGCGCTCTGTCAGAAGGAGCCGCCGTTCCTATGCACCATCGACGGCACATCGACGATCTTGCGCATCGAGGTGACCGCGACGCCGCTCACGTTTCGCCTCCAGCGCTGCATTGACGCGATCCAAGCGCTCTCCGAGCACACGCGCCGCTTCAGCGACGAGTCCGTCTTCATCATCGACGAGAACGAGTACCAGAGCATCATCGCCAACGACGCGTACTCGGTCGGCGCCGACGACGACGAGGCCCCTGCGCATACCGACCACGAGATGGACAGGGACCGCGACGCAGACGCGTCACTGGCTGATTTCGCGTTCGACTTCCAGGCCGACTGGGCCGAGACGTCGCCAATGCGGCTGCAGCTTGACCAGATGCAGGACGATGCGTCGAGTCGACTCAAGGTGTCGCCGCATGCGACGATGAGCCCGATGGCCATGCATCAGTTCTAGAGCACTTGGATTTTGCCCCACACGTTTTTATTTAACCCTTTTCGCGTCTTACGGCTCGTGGTGCAGCGTATTGGCGGCGAGGAGCCATTGCACATGGTCGTCGGTCGTCTCGGTAAAGCCAAGGAGGCTGCGGCCGCTCACCATCTTGAACTCGAGGCCGTTGGGCTTGATGGTGCTTGTCTCGATGCTCTGGACAAAGTCGCCGCCCTTCTTGGGCTGGCCTTCGAGGTTAATATCATAATACGCGAGGACGTTCTCGCGCAGCACAAAGTACCGGCGCTTCCAAGTGCGCATGACCGCGCCGCGCTTCTCGACCCAACCCCGCGTGACCTTGGCGTCCGACCGCAGCGGCACGCAAAAGTGCTTGAGCTTGAACTCGGCGGTGGCGCGCGCATTGCAAAATTGGCGGATCGCCGTCACCTCGGCGGCCGGCGGCACATCGCCGCTCGTGGCGCGGCCGTCGGCGACCGCCCGGCAGTGCTCGGCCACGCGCGTTAGCGCCGGCAAAATCATCTCGCCGGCGTTGGTCATTTCGACGTAGCACTTCCAGAGATCGCCGGACGACGAGACGAGAATGAGGCCGTTGTTGACGTCGCTCCAGTGGTACGCGGCGCAGACCGTGATCGTGCCCTTGGGCGCTCGCCCGCTGTCGTTCGCGTCGTCCTCGCTGCCAAAGTACGAAAGCCGGCGGCCTTCGAGCACGAAGAAGCGGCGCTTCCACTTCTTGCTGAGGCGGTATGCGTAGCCGGCAAAGTCGGCGTTCACGAGTCGAAACTCCTGCGGATAGCTGCGCGCCAAGCTCGTGCTGCGCTCCATCGGGACGTTGCAAGTTGACTGCGTGTCAAGTGGTTGTTGACCTTCGACGAATATTGATATATTAGGGTGTTTGATGCCTGATCAATATGGAGATGTTTGACTTCGTGTTTGTATGTATTGTTTCAAATGCTGAATTGCGCTGTACCGCACATCATAGCCGGATAATGGCAGGCCCAATATATTGATTTCCGCTTGGCGCCATAACGGCAACGAGGACCAGCTCGCAGGTCGCTTCGACACGTCATTTTGACGCGGACGACAGCATGGACGTACCGAACGAGCAATGTCAGAACTTGTGCACTCGAGCGCTGGCAGTAGGCAGCAGCTATCGCCACCCTGGTCTCCATGTCTATCATCGTCTTCACGTTCGCGTTAAACTCTGTCGGCTAATTTTTAGCTGCTCGCAGCAAAGACCGAGTGTAGATACCTTCACTTGTGCTTCTCGTACAGCTCGTTCTTCTCTGTGCTGGATGAGGCTTGGTACGTGCGAGGCAATTCCGGCGCTCGCGGGCCGTGCTCGTCCACATAAGCGGATGCCCACGTTTCCATCATAAAAAGCGAAACACCAGTAAGGATGCCACCGTGGTGGAGGTAGACGCCGATATCAAAGAGTGAGCGACGACGGTGCTTGTGTGCTTGGCCAAGCGAACAAAAGGCTTTTTTGCCACTCATTCGCTGCGATGGTCATTTCCGACTGCACGGCAGCGATGACACTTGTGGTGGCACCGCCGTGTTTAAGGCCCGAGATGTCGTACTACGCGCGACGTCGTGTGTGTGCAATTTGGTGGGCCTCCTCGAGACGCTGTCCTAGTACAGACGCCTAACTCGCATGGACGTCTGGTCGAGCAACTTCCCGTCCCGCGATGCCTCGCCACTCGCTACGAAGCCACCGATTCGTGGGCGGCTGACAGTGTCACCTTGTGAAAAGAGCGTGTTCGGTTTGCTCTTGCAAGCCAGACATGTCCGGAAGGAACCACCGCAGCACCTGCCATGACATGGTCCTGCTGCTGAATGCCCAGAAAGTTTTCTCGGTCCACTATGTAGCCACACGCCGTCCATCGTGCTGGCGACGGGTTGCGGAAGGCAATTCGACCATTGCGACGCCTAAACCAACAGCAACGCGCGGAATTCGGCAGTGCTGTGCTAAGGCACAGCGCTTGTGGTCGGCAAACTACCGAAGGGCTTTAGACACGAACGCTCCAGGATATGCGGCGTCGCGTAGTCTCTTGGCTCGATCAAGACACTGGTTGATGGCCCAGAAATGGTCGAGTAAACGATGTATGGCAGCGCGATTTGGATTGAAGCGCCAAACAACTCGAATGGTAAAATCGTGCTAGACCACGCGTGTCGCGCATCGGGCGCTTGTTCGACGACTAGCAACCTCAGTCGTAGCCGTGGCACAAGTGCATTAAGTGCACACTATTGAATTATCGATTCACATATATTACGTTTGCGTGTCACGAATTCGACGAATTGCCTCCATTTTGGATCGCGTTCGAAAATCATTCTGGATCTCGAAAACCTCCCAAATATGATGACCCATCTAATGTATTCTGGGAGGTATTACTGCAATCAGCCAATGGGAGGCTAGCCACGTAGCGAGCACTCACTTCGCTTTCGACCGCTCGTGGAGAAGGACAAGCAGCATGGGCGCCATGGACACGCTGAAGAAATGGGACTTTTACAAGAAGATCCCCGAGGTAGACATGCGCTAATGCTGCTCATGCAGATGAGCTCATGGGCTGATGCAGGACCTTACGGTGTCGACGCTGCCGGGCGTGAGCCTCTCGCTCGTCGGCTGCTTTATCATGTTTGTGCTCTTCATCCTCGAGTTCAACAGCTACCTCAGCGTCAACTACCGCTACGACATTGTCATGGACGAGGGCCTCGACGAGATGATGCGCATCAACTTCAACATCACGGTGCCCGACCTCCGCTGCGAGTTTGCATCGATTGATGTGAGCGACATGACGGGCACGCGCAAGCACAACATGACCAAGGACATTTACAAGATCCGCATCGACTCGAAGCGCCGCATCCTCGGTATGTCGGCCGAGGAGCAGCCGATGCCCGTGTACGCCGACGACTCGGTCTACGGCGATCTGCCCGAGTCGGACGCCGTCGTTACGATGCTCGACGAAGCGACGTTCGAGCCGTTCCTCAAGGAGCACCACTACGTGGCTGTCGATTTTTACGCGCCGTGGTGCATTTGGTGCCAGCGCCTCGAGCCCGTCTGGGTCCGCACGGCCAAGACGCTGCCGACGCTCCACATGGGCCAGCGCATGCGCGTCGCGTCCGTCGACTGCCAAGCGCACCCCGAGCTCTGCATGACGCAGTTTATCCGCGCGTACCCGACCATCATGTTTTACAAGGACGGCGACCTCTCGCCGGTCGAGATGTACCACGGCGATCGGTCGGTCGAGGCGTTCACGGAGAAGTTCCGGTCGCTCTTTGAAGGCGAGGCCGACTACGCCGAGCAGCGCAAGAAGGAGATGCACGAGAGCGACAAGAAGGAAGCTGCGACGAAGGGCGAGCTCATCGCCAAGGCGCCGGGCGCCGAGGGCTGCCAGCTCTACGGCCACCTCTACGTCAAGCGCGTGCCGGGCAACTTCCACGTGCACTTGCAGAACCCCGCGTACTCGATGGACGCGAGCCTCGTGAACGCGTCGCATACCGTCGGCGAGCTCTGGTTTGGCGAGCCCGTCCCGTACAACGACCTTGTCCGGTTGCCCAAGGACGCGCACGCGAAGCTCTACTCGCACCGCCTCGAGGGCAAGGAGTTCACGGCGTACCACAAGGAACACACGTATGTGCACTACATCAAGGTCGTGACCAACGCGTACGTGCAGTCGAACGACGACGTCATCAACGTGTACAAGTACACGGCGCACTCGAACGAGTACGAGGAGAAGGACGACTTGCCGTCCATCATGTTCCGCTACGATCTGAGCCCCATGTCGGTCAAGATCACGGAGGACTCGGTGCCCTTCTACCACTTTCTCACGTCGGCCTGCGCGATCATTGGCGGTGTCTTCACCGTCATTGGCATCCTCGACCAGATCATCCACCAAACCGTGCGCGCCATGAACAAGAAGGTCTTGTAAATCGTCCTAATTAGCAGCATCGCGATGCAACCCCACGTTTTGTTCTCATCTCTCTTCCTCTGCGCAAAGCACTCGGGGGAGTGATCTCCATCTCGTCACCCTAGCGTGCTAGTCGCGTGCTCGTCGTTGGCTAGTAAAAGGCGGCACACTCAGACGCGATCGACAGGGTCGACGTCGTCATCCACATAGTCTGCTTGTCAGCTGGTCGTTGCCGTCGAGACGGGCTCATCTGATGCGTGCGTCGTACCGTTGAGCATGTTGCAAGCCATCTTGCCTTCAAGCGGCGCTGCTAAGTTTCTGCCATGTTTGATGTGCTTCCTGTATGCAGATCGCATGGTTCCAAGCTCGGTCGGTGGAAGCCCATGGAAGGCGGTGGTTCCTTGGAAAGGTTGCACTCCAACAACTTGGCAAAGTGCTCGAGCACCATGTGGGACGAGCCACAACACCTATGTACGAGCAAGGCCATATTGACGGTCTTGGTACTAGCCAGGGTACGAGCTACCCATGCAATACCTACCAGCGACGTGGCGGGCGACGGTGCATTGGCACAGAAATGTGATCTGCGGCCGATCGCGCCATGCAGTCGTCGGTGGGAGCTTCCAATTATCGATGCCGGGACCAGCGACGGTGGCAGTTGGGATGACGTCGCTGACTGGGTTTGTATTTCGTTGGCCGTGGTCCACTACGTCCAAGCCGCGCGAACCGCAAGTGCAAGGTGGTGTCCGCGGAACTCTCTCCAAGATGGATACCGTGGATGCGTCACTGGGCCGGCCCAGCTCAAGTCGGCGCATCCAATCGACTTGTCCCAGGTCGGGTGTCGTCATCACATACAAACACCAAGTGAACCGACCCGATGGCACGCTTGAAGCACGCAAACACTTTGGCGTGCCGGGCGCTGATTGGCTGGGCCGGGCCCACTAGCCACGGGCCGGGCCCACAAAGATGAGCGACGCGAGGCTTCTTGGGCTGCAACTTACGCGCTCGCGTTAAGGTATCATTCTGCAAAAGATCCTCTTCTACCAAGTACTCTAGCCACCATGGTCGCCAGTGAAGTCGCTCCCGCCGTCGCCGCCGAAGGTACCTTCCTCGTCAAGGCCGGCCTCGCCAAGATGCTCAAGGGCGGTGTCATCATGGACGTCATCAACGTCGAGCAGGCGCGCATCGCCGAAGAGGCCGGCGCCGTCGCCGTCATGGCGCTTGAGCGCATCCCCGCTGACATCCGCGCCGACGGTAGCGTTGCCCGCATGTCGGACCCGGCCATGATCGAAGCCATCAAGAAGGCCGTGACGATCCCCGTCATGGCCAAGGTCCGCATCGGCCACTTTGTCGAAGCGCAGATCTTGGAGGCGGTCGAGATCGACTACATCGACGAGAGTGAAGTGTTGACGATGGCCGACGAGGAGAACCACATCAACAAGCACAAGTTTAAGGTCCCGTTTGTCTGCGGCTGCCGCAACCTCGGCGAGGCCCTCCGCCGCATCGCCGAAGGCGCCGCCATGCTCCGCACCAAGGGCGAAGCCGGTACCGGCAACGTTGTTGAGGCTGTCCGCCACGCCCGCGCGGTCCAGCGCGAGATCAAGCGCCTTACCGCCATGGACGAAGACGAGCTCTTTGTTGCCGCCAAGGAAATGCAGGCCCCGTACGACCTCGTCAAGCAGGTCGCTGCCACGGGCCGCCTCCCGGTCGTCAACTTTGCCGCCGGTGGCGTTGCGACGCCTGCCGATGCCGCTTTGATGATGCAGCTCGGCATGGATGGTGTCTTTGTCGGCTCGGGCATCTTCAAGTCGGGCGACCCGGTCAAGCGCGCCCGCGCCATGGTCCAGGCTGTCACGCACTACAAGGACGCCAAGATCCTCAAGGAAATCTCGACGGACCTCGGCGAGGCCATGGTCGGCATCCAGGACCTCAAGAAGTCGAACGTTAACTTCCGCGATCGCGAGGGCGGCCTCCACGGCACGTGGTAAACACGTCCAATCCGCTTAGACTCTTAGGTTTTGCCTGCAATAAATGTTCATATGTGCTTACTCGCTTTTTTGTGGCGATGCAGAATCGATATTGCGGCTTCGAGTTGTCAAGCGTGCAACGGCGCAAACGCGCGGCTCTTTCCGAAGGACAACTCGATGCCAGTCAAGGATCTAAATTGTGAAAGAGCTTATTGGGCGCGTCTATGTTGATCCTCTTCGCCACCCCAGCGTCGTCATCGCCGCCACACGATGCGTCTTGCATGCAATTGAGCCGAGGGCCAAACAAGGGCGATCGACTGGACGATTTTCAGATGCCAGAAACAAGCGCTCGGGACGCTGTAGGGTTGGCGAGTGTCGAGGTACTCGATGCCAAGGCGAATATACGTGCAGTTCTTGGGCTTTCGTAGCATACTGGTCGTGTCGTCCTGGTGGCATCAGTTCAGTTGACAGGTTGCGTCAGAGCGCCCACGAACGAGCCAAAATATCGCTAGCATCATAACGCATCTCGATATGCCGAGGTGATGACGGGAAAAGGGAGTACAAATTCAAGTGGCGAACGCTCGGCGGCAACGTCGCGCTGCAATGCGACGCGGGTTCGGATGCAACCATGTCCACGTGCATGAGGTGCGTGCACAGTAGCGGGCCATTGGTGAGCGCAGTCATCTCGAACCATAATGCGCTGCGATCGGATGGATGCTTGGGTGGCAAGGCGGCAAGAAAGCCCGAGGTGACGGCCCGTTCACGGTCGGCGAAGAGCGACGAGCGGTACGCTGAACTCGTCCGATGTGCTAGGCCATCACGTCCTTCTGCTCGTCCATGTGGCCGACGACCGAGTCAAGGACTGGGGCTGCTACTTTGAGCGTGATCTGGGTCTTCTTCGTTTATGGAGCTTTGGATCTGCAAGCATTCGGCTACACAAAGTGAACAGGTTACATTGGGTTACCTGTGCGCAGCTCTTAAGGTTGGTTTGTTGGCCTCGAACGCATCCCGGGCGATAATGACGTTGGGGAGAGCGACGCATCCTCGCTCATATTGTGGCCGAGGGCTCGGTCCATCGCGAGAACGCCGTCGCAATACAAAAACAAGTGCTCGCGACCGTGCCCAAGTTCGTCAGCTCATTGGGTTCCGCTGATTCATTGCCGAATTACATGTCGATCGCAGCGTGGCGTCGGACTTACAACGACGAGGTCGGGGAAACACATGCAGTCGTCCCAAGTGGAATGGTGAACGTCACTTTCCCCACATGTGTGATTTGCAGGTTGATAAGCGCGCGTGGGCCGTCGCCGAGGAAGCGCTTCGTGATGCGAATCTGGGGCGCCGCATTGCCGTGGCCAGACCCGTGTTTGACTCGAAAAGCCTCGAGTGCAGCTATAAAGCCGCGCAGACTGTGCGCAACAGGGGCGACCCCGCGATAGTAGGACGACCGCCCGCGCCATTGATTGATTGTTGCCGCAAGGTGTGTACTATAATACATCCCAAGATATGCGATCGGCTTGCTTCTCGCAACGTTCGAGGAACGCACGCAGAGCATTTTCCAAATAGCGTGCTGCTGCAGGGCGGACTCAACCCGTGGTACGCCAAGGTGCACCCAGGAGCATGTCAACCACCCACGACGCACGACGCATCACTGCTCGACCGAGAAACCGACCGTGCAACCAGCCGCGCGGCTTGATGTCGACGCTATGGGTTGGAGTGCACATCATCATCCTGGGTGCAAGATTCAATGCGCCAGCTATGCATGTACTACTAGCATCGTTGGGAGATTAGAGGTCCAGGCGCATCGAGCCTTTTTTCGTGCTGACAATGGCGACGAGAACGCTACAAACACGTGAGCGTCCAACACACACACGAGTGATGTACCTCTCTTCCATGAGGCCAGGCTCGAGCGCGCGCTCCATCGCATTCGTGACCACGTCCGTGAGCAAGCTATCGAGCTCATGGAGGCCATTTTCGGTTGCCACGAGCGTCGCTGCCATCCACTTGAGGAGCTCCGTGTCGACTTGGAGCTGCTGGACACCGCATTTGCCAAACGTGTGCAAGCGAACGTACTCGCCCCAGGCCTTGAACGCCATCTTGAACGTCGCGGCGAGGACGCTATCGAGGCTGCACGTAAAGGACGCGCCTTGGAAAACTTGGATCTTCTTCGCAAAGATGCGCGCAATGTCCATGTAGAGGTGCCCCGAGGACGTTGCTTGCTGCTGCTTGAGTGCACCGCTGCCGGTCGGACGCATGCTCGAGTTGGTCTTCTGGCGGCGCAAGTCGCGGATGCCGCCGCTCGCCGTGCGGGCGTTGGGCAGTGGCTCGCCAAAAATCTAGTAGGCGGTGGTAAACAGTCGTCCAATATTCTCTTTCGTCGAAGAACCTGCGCCGTTGACTTGGCAATCTGAACCATGTCGTCAACCAGTGCATCAATGGTGGCACGAACAGAGCGCGGCTCCTTCGCCTACGCAGTCACGGTCGCACTTGCACGGCGTCGATGGAATAAAATAGGGTACGTCGAGCCAGTTCTGGGCCTCCATGCCCTTGCGCAAGGTCGCGCCGAGGCGCATACCGTGGCCCATGCACAAGTGGTGCAAGAAGGCCGACGAGGCGTCGGTCGCAAGCGTGATGAGGCCTGCAGCATCCACTTTGGAGCTCTCGTTCCGCAAGCTCGTTGCCTATGGAGATCGATGAGCCCAGCGCCTTTCGCGGCACAAGATCACACCGGGTCCATCGTGTCAAACACGGGCAAGCACTCGACAAGCACTTGGATGCAGTGGGGGATCGCCGTCGCGCTCAAGTCACGAAAGACGCACGCAAGAAGCACGAGGAACGAAGGTGTGACAGCCAAATCGGGTGCGCCAATGTCGTCCGCGCGCGCAGCGTCGGCGCGCCGGACCGCTTGCACCCGCGTTGGCTCGATATACACGAGCAGCGTGCGCGCAAGCCAGTGGAGGAATCCGCAAAAGCGATTCTACAGAACGCTGGCATGCAGGGACCTCCCGGCACCCAAGTTCCTACCAATACGAGGTCGGACAAGGCGCGTGTCATGTCGGGCACGAGATGCGCGGCCGTGCCCACAAGCGGCTACATCAGCCGAGTCGCTAACTCGAGCAAAACCACCGAGCGAAATCGCACCTGCATGCGCTGGAGCGTTTGCTCGATACGCTCGACGTACGACCTGGCGAGCTTGGACGCGACAGGCGGTACGACGATGGACGTCTGGAGCTGCGCGTGGAACTGCCCGACGGTCTCCATAAACTCGCGCTTGAGACCAAGAAAGGACGCGTCCACTTGGTAGCGAATCTACACAAGAGTCGTTTTCGTGCACTTGGTCGGTGGGCTGCCTCTGTACCGCCGCCTCCACGACTTGGGGTGTCCGTGCGCGCACGTCAGTGAGGGGCAGCTCGGAGCCGTCGAGCGTCGCCGTGCGGTCAATGAAGGTTTGGAGCACGAGCATAAGGATGCCGTAGCCATTCGATCCCGAGCTCGAGCTTGCGTTGTCGTCGTTCGTCTGCACAAGACAGTTTAATAGCAAGCCTCGAGAGCGTGTTTTGCGACGTACAAAGGCCGAGAGCGGCCGCTGGCACTGGGCCTCGCAGAGACTCGCAAACGTATCGTACCACGCCGTTGCGCACGTGTTGAACGCGAGCCGATGGTTGGGGTCGGCCGCTTCGAGTGCGCCAAAGATGCGCTGGAACGCCCGCGCTGCCTCATGAAAGTCCGGCACAAACGTCTAGCCATCTTTCGCTATCAGCGATCTTTCGATGTATGTGTGTACCTCGCTAATGGACGAGACAAAGGTCATGACGGGCAAGAGCGCTTGGTCGTTCGTTGGCTACGTACTGATTCGACCCAAGGATGCAGATCGCGGCGCATGTACCTGGAACGACGCGAGCATCTTCTCAAACCGACGCTGATGCCAATGGAGAAAGCGCTGGCGCACATCAACTGCGTTCACGTTCAAGTCGAGGAGCAGCGTCGTATACTCCTCGACGTTGGTTGCCGTCGTGGCATCGTCGTCGAGCTTCTTCTGGACGATAGTGCGCAGACCGACCATGATGTGCTCGGCTTCGACTTGGATCGTCTACAGAGTGGATTCGGACATTTCCTCGCATGCATCATGGATGAGAGGACCTTGAACGAGGCAATGTGCTGGTAGCGCTTCAAGATGCGGTTGGCGATCACAAAGTACTTGGTCGCTTTCTCATACTCTTGCGCCTTGATCGCGCTAAGCAAGCAGTCAAGCGATAGGCAAGCCGTGGCTGGATGTACCTCTTGAGACGCTGGGGCAGCTGAAAAATGAACTCGAGGCGCTTTAAGAGCCGGCGGACGCCCACGAGCTTCTCCACCTGCGTCGCCAGCTAAGCGCCATGGCCATGGAATCGACGGACCTTGGACCGGAAGGGCGCGAGCGCGTTCCCGACGTTTTCGCTCTGGAGCGTGATCTTGTCCATGCTTTCGACGACGCGCTTGACCTCCGACTCCATCGTCTCGACGTTCGTCTAGCGCAGGATGAGCGTTTGGCGCTGCGATCGCAGTACCTTCATCTTGCGGATCGTATCCGTGGCGCTAATGAACTTGTTGTAGTTCTCGTAGACGAGCATTTGCATGCTCGTGTCGAGTTCCTTGATCTCCTTGATCATCTGGTCATCGCGGCGAAGGAGGTCGTCCATGCCCATGCGCTCGAGCATCCCCTGCCAGACGACGACGTCAACGCCATGGACCTCCTCCATGGAGGTCGTCTACCTTGACGTAGTCGTCAGCGACGAAGCCCGGGGCGTCGATGTTCTTGCTCTGGTTGACCGACTCCTCCTTGTCCGAGAGGTCGTAGTACGAGCTCATGAGCTCCTGCATGCGGGAAGAGTCCATCGCCGCCGATCGCAGTCGCCGCAAAACGGTCGGATTGGGTGTCGACTCGACGGATTGGCTAAAATGCTGAGCAGAAAACGCGCGATGATTGGTGCAATTTAAGAAATCATGTGGATTTAAACCAATCGAAAACGAGGTGATCGCGCCTGCGATTGGCCAAAAAGTACAGAGTGCTTGCGAAAAGGCGCGCGTGTGCAAGCACGATTGGCGCAATGCAAAGATTTGGCGTCGATTGTGGCCAATCCAGGTGGTGGATGACGTGGGGCGTCCTGCGACAGCGGCGCGCGACTGCCGAAGACAAGGCGCTTCGGTGGACCACGCGACGGAACCCATAGTACATGTACGCTCGGCGTCATCATCATCATCACCGGCACTCGACACCCGAGACTTCGTTGGACACGACCCGTCAACTCGGTTCACAAGAAGAATGCCGACGACTTCAACTTGGGCGAGTACGATTTTACGAGATGGGAATGATCGCAACGACTTGGTGAGTTAGCACCGGTTCTTTTTCTTCCAACAGCGCGGGTGGTGTTCTTGGAGCTGGGCGCAGCTGTAATACACGTTCGTGTGGCTCGGCGGCTGCGTCCCCTCGGCGGCAGTTGCGTGCGTATCACTGCACGCGACCGCATGGTGGACCGGCACCATGACGTGGCGGGCCGCCGTTGCATTGCACGCGCTTTGGAAGAGAAATGCCCTTTCGCTCCGTGCAGCTCTTGGATGTTTGCGAATGGATGTCGGTGCCACGCAAATATAACGTACAAAGTTCCTGGGTGCTGGGTGCTCGTCGTGTCGACGACGGACTGGCGTCGGTCCGAACGCGATGGCTTCCGCCGTTGCGAGAATTCAGTTGGTGGACATGTAAATTGAAATTAAATCTTGAGTAGTATTTTATAAGAGGCTATCGTACGGGGTTAAATTATATGGGATAGTGGCTCAAAGCGCGAGCTCTTCGTCGTGGAGGCCAAGGATCGAGTGGAGGATCTCAAGCTCTTCCATCGAGAGGACGACTTCAGTCGATGTCGTCCGCGAGGTCTCGAGCTCAAAGTCTGTGCACGGCACGTGCATTGGCGAAAAGCGCTCGGGCGTCGTCGCGAGGCGGACTTCGCATTGACTCGTCGGTGTCTTGGGCGAGTGCAAGCCAGGCAACGCCTTTTGCACTTCACGCTTTTGCATGACAAACGATTGCGTCGCCGGCTCCGGGTGCTTCTTGACCCGGCGCTTCATGTCGGACTTGCGCTGGTTGTTGTTGTGGCGAATACGGTGCTCTTCGCACATGGTGTGGACTTCGCCGTTGAACTTGAGCGTGCGCTCGTTGGGGCAGCGGCCGCTCTTGTAGCGGCACTTGCCGCGGAAGCCCGCGCGGACCGCGTTCGCACTGGAGGTGCTGCTGCTGCTGCTGGGGTGGCGCATCATCATGGGCGTGCTCGTCGCGTTCTTCGGGGAAATCGTCGACGTCGAAAAGTGCACCGGGTAGGCGCTGTTGTAGGTTGCAACGGACATGGCAATATTGGAAATGACCAAAGATTTGCGACGCCAGATATTTTAAAAACGTAATAAAATAAAGGATGCACCGTGGGACAGTGGCCAAAAAAGCGTGATGACGCCCACAAAAATGTGGTCTCGAATTTTAAACAGAGACCACCACTCTTGGCGCAGGAAATTCAAGCAGCAATTCGCTTGTGGTTTGTATGTGTAATCCCACCTGCAAAGCTCTTCTCTCTGCACCGCGGACGCACGCCAGGTTCCAAGGACTTGCCCACTCCGGATGTGCTGGCGACTTGCATGTCAACTATGTCGTGCTTGCATAAACACTCGGTCCCACAGCGACATTTATGGAAAAAACATCGACGGTCGTCGCAGTGAAGGAGTGCACCACCAGCGGTGTCTCGAAGCCTCTCGAGGAAAGGTCTCGCGATATCGGAATTAAAAGTTGGTATTTTATTTTTATTCCTTTGCACGTCGCGTGAACACGATTGTGGCTGCGTGTATGTTTCGTCACCATTTTAAAATATATAAAAATATCCCATCTCGCGATTAATAATATTCCTCGAATAAAATCGCCAACGCACAGCATGGCTTCTTCTCGAAGGCGCAAGGATCGACGACGACGATCAAGCACGTGCATAGCAGCACCGGACGCTACGATAGAGGATGTGTTGACGCTTCTTAGATGTGCTGCCTCCATGCAAGCTTCCATCGAACCCATGGAGCCGCCATTCGTTTGGCGCCAGAGATAAGCTTTGTGAGGCGCTCAAAAGATACCACGCGTATCTTCTTTCCACCACGCAACGACCCGCGTATGTGGCGCGTGACTGCAAGCATTGTCGCACGCCAGTTTGTTTACCGCAGTCCACGCCCTTGCATCAGCGACCGATCACACGCGTCCAAGCTACTCGCAGTACCCCGCCTGCACGCATCATCCAGCTCGTTTGCCTCCACGGGTAGCGCCACGGTGTCGGTCACCCATCCAGGAGAAGGCAATGAAGAAAAGAGTGTCAAGTTGATGTTCTCGTCGGCCGGTATAAAAATGATATCGTCTATCTTTGCCCCCGGGATGTGCGTCGGCGTGTACAAAAAAGTGGCGTCCGCCCATCCTCCAACACACGCGACGGAGCGGGCTACTCGGCATCCGCACATACTGCAAGCTACTTGGGCCCCGTCTCGACCAGAGAACGAACGAGGACCGACCTGGTCGGATCTCGCGCGCCACGTGGCGTCGAACGCTGTAGAGATTTGGACGGGAGAGGCTCGCGTGTGCCCAAGCTTCTACAGCAGTCGCCAGTCTATACTATCCAAAATCGCCAGTTTGCGATTCCAGAGAGATCCCACGCACGATGCTATCAACAGTGATTTCGGGTGTGGCCGGGGCAGCGTGCGTCGCGGCAATTGCTTGGAAGGTGCGCGCCGCAGCTGCTTCCGAGCCCAACGACAAGGACACGGTCGTTCTAGAAGGGACCATTTACCGCAACCTCGGCACGCCCGTCGGCGCCACTGAGCAATCCGTCATCGGTGCAGTCTAAGGCGCTTCCGAGCTACAAACTAAAGTGTCTGCTGTGTAATGCACGTGATGTGATGGACGACGACGTCGCATTAGAATTATCGTGCTTGACATATCGCTGCAAGGCGTGGGACGATCCATGTCAGCGACATGTTAGGGCGATGGAACTGCGACCGACGACAGTCGCCAGGATCTCGCTTCCTCCGTCCAAGGTCCACTACACATCCTTTGTCACAGGAAGGTCGTCGCGCGTGCCCCACTCGGACCACGACCCGTCGTAGACAGGGACCCTATAAGATCGCATTGGTCGAGATGGGTCTTCAGGGAGTCCAACGCACCGCTCGAGCGGGACACCGAGCACGTGCAGCCCTAGAGTTAGCACCGCCGCTGTGACGCCTGACCCGCACCTGCGGACCGACACGATGTGAGCCACCATGAGAGGAAGGACAGGCCGTCGTACGTCGTGGCGATGACTGTGCCCGCGTCGCTAATGCGCACGCCTACAAGACACGACAGAGCTGCATGAGCAGCACGTAATAATTGTCTCGTCGACGCCCACCGCTGGCCTCAAAGTTGGAGCGAATCGTCGCGGGGTCGCGAAAGACCTACAGCATGCTACTTGTAAGCTACTAGCGCACCGAACCCCGGCAAGAGCACCGAATGGTCGTCCGGCGTCAGAACGTGCGAGAACGGCGCGTTGATCGCGCCTGGCATGTGGCCGCCACGAACACCCGCACGCGGCTCCTACCCCGCAACGTCATTGACGCATGGACGAGCCGCCACGACGCACCGGGTCCTTGCCCGTGAACCGACCCGGCCCACGCGCGTCAATGACTTGATTCGTCGAGGACAAGAGCTTCAGGACCTTGCAGACAAGACTGCTAAGGATACGATGGTCGATGATGAAGGGATCACAAACCTGCTCGGCCGTCAACACGAGGCGCGAATCCGGCGTGGCCACGTAGCCCGTCGTCGGCGCGGGAGGCGACGGCAATCCTTCCTCGACCGCATGTCCGTCCTTCTTCCACTGCGTGAGTCCGCCTGTGGACCGAGCGCCATGAGTCCAAGCATGCGAAGAAGCCGAAGGAACCGTTGAGGACATGGACGCGGGCGTGGCCAAAGTACTTGAACGTCCACCAGCAGCGTGCAGGGCTATGGCCCTTGTTCACAGCTTGCAGCAATTCGCTTGACGTACCTAAAACAGTTGGCGCCACCATACACAACGACAGTCGTGTCGTTGGCGATGCCAAATTCGTCCATCGTCGACGCAAAGAGCGACGCTACGACGTCATTCTGAGTTGTGCGATGGACGTTTTCGCGTACGTGGCGGCAGCATGTGCGGCAGCGGCGACGTCGCGTCCTTGATGGCGTCAATGTCAAAGTAGACGGCGCCAGGAAGGCGCTCCTGGAGGAACTCGGCGCGGCCATTGCGAGCCTTGTCAAGGTACCTACACCCCGAAGGATAAGAGGCAGACCTGCAGCTGCACAGCAGACCAGGAAGCATCGACGAAGCGAACGGTCTGGCCTGCGGCGGCAAGCGACTTGATGTCATGGCTCATCACGAGCGGGCGGAGCGACGACATGGAGCGAGCGGTGGTGAGCCAGCGGGGCGATCGGCTGCGGAGCATATCCTCGAAAGTGGCTTGAAGTTGGGTCGGCAATGTTGCCGGCCAATCAGAACCGTCAAACTTATGTCAAACGAGTCTCTATAGTGCATCTATTACCAATACTATCTCATGTACTGTTCACTTGAAGACGTAAACGTGGCCTCTCAGACGATTGCGAAAGGTGCCATGCCAAGATTGTTTTTATATTACATTCAATTCGCTAGTCATAGAATACAATCCTAAAAAAAAAAAACTTTCCGACGAATTTACGGAAAGCCACCATGGGCAGCGCCGTATCCTCCGACGTCATCGGCAACACGGACGATGCAATCTTGGTCAACATCTTAAAGGAGGTGCATGACGCTACGCCTGTACTAGATGGTGCCGATTGCTTCCGGAGTAGGCCATGAAGAAGGACCCGGCGCGTGTCGACCGCCTCATCGCCGAGGCCAAGAGCGCGGTCCGCGCCGACTCGTATGGCAGCGTCGCGGAGCCCAACGTAGCAGTCGACGCCAAGTCGCCCGAAGCGACGCTCGACACGATGGCGGTGAGCGTTGCCGCCGAGATCAACGCGCTGCGCACCAACCCCAAGGGCTTTATCGCGCACTGCGAAGAGATGCTCAAGCACTTTGACGACAAGATCCTCACGATTCCATCTGAAGGCATTCGATTGCAGACTGACGAAGGCGCGACCGCCGTATGCCTCTGATCCCTGACATCACATGCCATAGAGTTTGCGACTAGGTCCAAGACTGCATCGCGTTCCTCAAGCAACAGACGGCGCTGCCACCACTTATGCTTGATGGCAATCTGTCCAAGGCTGCGCAAGACCATGCAGCAGACCTCGGGGACCATGGCACCGTGAGCCATACGGGCCAAGGTAACAACGACCACTGCCTTTCCAAATGGTGGCACACGAGGCGACGCAGACGGCAGCTCGATGGTCCAGCGCCTTGACCGATACGGCGAGTGGAAGGGCTCCGTGGGCGGTACGACGGTCATGCGTACGCGAGACACTAAGATATGAGCGCAGAGCTGCTGGCATTTGGGCTCTCCAAGCCGCGCAACATCGTGCTGCAGCTACTCATCGACGACGGCGTCCCGAGCCGCGACGACCGCACGAGCCTTCTCGACGCCAAGTTTACAACGCTCGGCGTTGGTACGAGTGTGCACAAGTTTCAAAAGTCGGTGTGCGTCCTCGACTTTTCCGGCGGGTTTGGGCCTCTTGGTTCGGCACATACATATAGATTGCTATATAGCTCTGTTGCTATAATGATCGTGTCTAGTCGAGAAGCTCAAGGAGCCCAAGCAAGTGTCGGTCAAGGGCGAATTGACGCCGGACGTCGAGCTCATTTTACAGAGCATTCCGTTCGAAGAGCTCAAGATCGAAGTCCGCGACATCCTCGCGCACTCGCCGACACAAACCGTCGGCCTCAACTACAAACCCGGCTCGGTACTCTCCGATTCGTGCATTCGTCCTTGCTTCATACTTGTGCTCGGATGCGTAGATTGAGGTGACGGTGACGAACCCAGATGGCTCGAGCCAAATCAAGTCGGGCACGTGGGGTGTCGCTGCGCCGCCGTCGTCGTCGTGATCCTTCGAGATGTAGAGTGCGACACTAGTCAACGAAGAACGAACGTCGTTTGGACGCCGACTGTGTACGACTGCGGATGACGTGTCTACTGGGCGAAGAAACGTGCCCGCCTGTCTGCTCGGCAGTGCTGGATGGGTCGCAATGCAAACGGCAGCTGCGGCCAAAACGTCGCTTTACCGCACATCGTTCTTCGTCTTCTGACCACTAAGATGTACTGGGGCGCGTTGGCGTATAGATTCCACGCACACGAGTGCTGCCGACCTCGGTGCGAAGAGTTTAGGCTCTTTTGTATCTGAGATACTCGTACGATGACCAAAGAAGACAAAGGGCGCCGGTTGGTTATATTGAGCGCACATACGAGATAGCACAGAGAGGCGTTGGTACTGCTCGAGAGGCAGTGACGATAAGAATAAATAAGACGCGCGCATTCTGTCTGCACGGTCACCACAGCTCGGAAAAGTTTTGGCGCGGAATGCCGCGGAGCCCGACAGCCTTGATGACGAGGAGCTCTTCCATGGACGGCGGCTCCGTCACCGGGCTCGATCGGTCCACGTCCGGGGCGACGCACACGGTGGCCACGGGGGAAAATCGCACCGACTTGGCCGAGCGCTTGGGCGCCGGCGGCTCGAGGGCACCACGGAGCGCATTCATCGCGACGATGTAGCGCTGGCGCTCCTTGGCGATGTACTTGCGCGTGACTTCGGTCTTGAGGAGGAGGTTGCGCGCCACGTCCCACTCGCGCGTGGCTTGGAGCACGTCGAGGGCCTTGGCCTGGTGCGAGAGGACGGTAGAGAAGGCGAGCGTGAGCTTGGCGAGCGGCGGAATCGAGCTCCACATGAGCGAGGACGCGGGCTCGGCCTTGGCGCGCTTGGACGGTCCGGCGTGGAGCGTGTCGGCCGGGTGTTCGCGCTTCATCAGCATGGTCAATTTGGTAGAATGGCCGTGGTGAGCGCATTCACCCAATGAGATGCGTCGGCTGTGTAATCCCGGACGTGAGAAATGCAGTGAATATCCCAGGCTCCAAGCCCATGGGACAAGCTCCCCGTGGCATTTCCCACGTGTCGCAGTGGAATTCCCACACGTGGCCCACGTTTCACACGGGCTCTTGACACCGGCCATGTCCTCGCGGGAAGCTGGCGACAGCGCACATAGAAGGCGACGCACGGGTCTATGCATCGAGCACGGGCTTCTTTGCGTGGTGCACTTGAAGCAGGTTCGGCGCTTGTTTTTGTTTGGCGCGGTTTTTCACCCATTGAACTTCAAGTTGGATGACACATAATCCAGGTATGCTCGTCAACACGTGCTGCAAGTGTGTGTGTGTGTGTGGTGAAAAAGAAGAACGATGCGGTCGACGGGGTTCGTTGCGGTGGCCACTCGCACCGAGCACGTTTGCTTCGATTGCGTCCAAGCAAACGCGCAGGGCGATCGCCACCTCGCTTCGCGGACGCGGTGGGCGTCCCACTTCTACCGATTACACATCGGTGCAAGCTTCTTCTGGAGCTCGATCGCAGTCCATCCGGTGGCCACCGTGTCCAACGAGTGCCAAGAAAACGGGGGCTTGGAGTACCGGTATAAAGTCGTCCATGGTCGACACTCCTCTGGTTGTCCAAGTACTCTTGCCCTGCGTACGCCGGGCACACGAGCCCAAAGCCCATCGGTCGGGCCAGCGAGTGGGAGCGACATGTTGTGGCGTCAGTCCATTTCGCAGATCTTTTTTCGATTGGCTCGCGGGAAAACCCATTTGTGAACAGTGTGATTGGAATATCCCAACGCGTGTCGACAAGCTCTCGAGCGGTGGACCTCGTTGGGTAGCTCAAATACACTCTTCTCGCCGTTGATTCGACGTGTCTGCTATCCGTACATAGACTTGGATGGAAGCCCAAGGACGACCACGGGCTACTTTTGGTTCTTGCTTCGCAACCTCCATCGCGCACTACATTTCGCACCCGTTCCGACGCCAGGGGGTATGCGATGAGCGCAGTGGCAGAACTACGTGCGTATATACGTACGAGGAGGCTTCTTTACGTTCGCTCCACTGCTCCTTCGAGCGTGCGTGCGTGGTAGCGTCATACCAAGTCGCTTGTATTGTTCTTCCCGGTATGCAACCCGCGCATGGGGCAAAGCTTGCGGCGGCTTGGGACATTGCTCTGATTGGCCAAAAGTGGATCCAGACGCCACTTGGAGATTGGTGCGATACAGCGTAAGCAACACACTGTATGGACCAATCGTTGCACATTGCTTGCAGTCCACGCAGTGGGCAACATGCGAAAGGCCAACAAAGCGACGACTGGGAAAGGGTCTGCGACTGCCGCCCGGAAGCAGTGGTTTGACGATGCGACGCTTGCGCTCGTGACCAACGCCCAAGAACGGGCGGCCAAGGCGCGCGGAAAGGGCGGCAAGGACTCGGCCCGAGAGGCCCGCGAGCGCTCGTCGCAGCTCTCGACGAGCGCCGACACGGTCGGTGTCTCGTTTGCCGGCGCTGCATTCCAAGCCGACTACTTCTCATCCAAGTTTGCCAAGCGTGGGTTGCTCGTGTACGCGATCCTGCAAGATTTGCTGGCGAAAAACCGGTCGCTAATTCCAGTGTCGTTGGAGACTGTGACGGTCGCGTCGTTTGGCGGCGGCCCTGGCACCGACGCTGCCGGCATCGTTTGGATCCAGCGCGAGTTCCTTGCATCGTCGCGCATCCAGTGCACGCTCTTCGACTACGAGACGTCATGGAAGCGATACGTCAAGACGCTCGATGAGCTCTTCGGCGACTCCGTCGACGTCTGCTTCCGGCCCTGCGACGTGACCCAAGGCCTCAATACTGACAGCAATCGCCACGTGTGTGAAGTTGAAGCCATGGACGTCCTCCTCTTCTGCTACGTCTGCCACGAAACGTCGGCGCGCCAGAACAATGTCTTGCAGTTCTACGCCGATCTCGCGGTGCAGGCCAAGGCCGGCGCCATCGTCATCCTCGCGGACGTCAAGACCACGTCCAAGCAGTGCCTCGAGCGCGTGGCCGAGGCCATGGCCTCTTCTCGGCACGTGACGCGCCTCGCGCTCGCCAAGCCTCCCAACGCAGAAGCCATCGTGCTTCGCATGGAGTAGATCACACTATTTAAACGCCCGTCATACCATTCAATATCAGATCTGATTGTGATGACATACTGTACGTCCATCACTCACATGCAACACCAATTCAGGTACCATCGCTCGATACGTGTATAGTGTATGACAAAAAGCACCAAAAAGTGCATTTTCCCTTTGTCGGTCATGGCGCACCTCGACACGAATCCGCAGGTGAGCGTGCACTCGATCGCCGGCGTCGCGTCGTGCTGCTACGTCGAGAGCATGGACGTTGCCTTCGACATGGGAATCGTCTTTGGCAAGGCCGTCGGGCGCAAGCACGTCTTCATCACGCATGGTCACATTGACCACATCAAGGCGCTACCCGGCCACGCCGGCGAGCGGTCGCTCTCGAAAGCGGCGCCTGCCACGTACTATGTGCCCGCGCCGCTCGTGGAGCATGTCAAGCAGATCTTAGCGACCTTTGAGATCATGCAAGAGGTAGTACCCGTCTTGGAAGCAGCCGACGTCGTCATCGGACCGGCAACGTAGAGTCCGCTGCCGGCGACGATCGTCGCGGTCGAGGCCGGCATGAGTTTCCGCATCTCGCATACGGTTCTTGTGAAGGCCTTTCCCACGGTCCACCGCGTGCCAAGCTTTGGCTATGTGGCGTACGCTGTTACAAAGCGCTTGAGCGACGAGTACAAGGACCTTCCGCGCGATGAGCTCATCGCGCTGCGCAAGGCCAAGGTGCCCATCGAGATCGAGACGTTGACGCCGACAGTCGCGTACACGGGCGATACGCAAGTGAGCTTTTTCGATCCGAACAACGAGGCCAACTGCGGCGACTTTCTCAAGGCCAACGTCCTCGTCACCGAGGTACACCCTCTCCAGGGTGTGCGTATGCTGAGAGGACCTCTTCGTAGTGCACATACATTGGTGACGCAATCCCACCCGCGACCGCGGCGGAGCGGGGCCACATGCATCTGTTGCAGCTCTCGGCGATGCAAGATCGCTTCCAAAACCAAACGCTTATTCTGACGCACTGCTCGCCCCGGTATAGCGCAAAGGCGCTCGCGGAGGCGGTCCGGCTGCAGTGGGCCGCCGTCGCTGGCGCCAACCAACAAGTGTGGCTCGCGCATGGTGCCGAGAGTGCCCTCGTACGAGGTTAAATTTAAATGCATCTACGGTTGCAAGAGCGCAAGCAGCGCGTCGCCGTCTTCGATGGTCGCCGTGCGAATGAGGAACGACGTGATTGTCGTGGGGTTCGTCGCGATCTGCACCACGAGGTTCTTGGGCTTGAGCGTCACGTGCACGACAGCGGAGAGGAGTGAGTTCAAGAGCAGGTGCGTGCCTGCCTTGAAGTCGCTGGTCGCGCGGCGCATGACCAGCCGGTCACGCTTCGCGTCGCTGTCCACGTGCCGAAGGACTTTGAGCGGGCCGGACCCGCACTCGACGTACTTGCCATCCGTAAACTTGAAGAGCTTCACTTGAAGCTACAAAGCTGTAAGAGGATGGGTCGAGAGCGTAGTCGTACCAAAAGCAACACTTCTTCGTTTTCTTCGCCCGTCACGTGCTGGTAGTCTTTGGGCAACTCGACGACCGGCACCTTGACAGGCGCTTCCGCCACGGCAGCCTATAGAGCGCTCCATGATGTCCCTGTCCCATAGGACTGTGGTCAGTACCTCGGTGCTGAGGAATTCGTCATTGCCCGTGGAGGCTTCCGTCCACGTCGAGGTCGCGTCCGTGTCGGCGGCGGCGCTGGCCACAGCTCCAAACGTCGTGCCGAAACCGGTCGGCTTGGCGTCACCAAACGTAGCCGTCGCAGCGCTGCTAGAGGCAAAGGCGCCAAAGCCGGACGCACTGGCAAACGCGCCAAAGCCAGTCGTCGTGCTGGCTGCACCGAATCCAGTCGTTGCCGGTTTAGCAGCCTATCCCAGTCCATATCATGATGTCACGTTGAAGGTCACACGGCGCTTCGTACGGCAAAACCGTTGGTGCTCGCAAACGACGTAAAGCCCCACGAAGGTGCTTCCGCCTACACGAGGAGCGATGCATTGGCACCTGCCCGACGAGACACGTGATGTGTACCTTCTTCGGGCTGGCGGCGTCCGTCGCCTTGGTCGGACTCTTACGCTTCGGGCTCGATGCATCCGAGGTCTTCTTACTGCCGTCGTCGTCATTGTGGTGCTCAGTGTGGACGTCGCCGTCACCTTCTTGCCGCTGCCGCTTGGCGACGGGCGAGGCCGCGGTGGCCGGCGCTGCATGCGAAGGCGAGCTCATGTTTCTTTCGCCAATGCAAACCCAGCGCCACGTTACGTGTTGGTTGGCCACCTTTTTATCTCGCTATCCGGATACCTGCCGACGATATCTTTTGGACTAGAAACACGCTCCTTAACCGCCGCAAGCAAAGAGTCACGAAATCGCCCACGACGTGGACATCGATATGTATTGATGCCAATGGCTTGACACATAATTAATATGGAGGACATGAGCCTGACTCGGAGCGCATCTCGGTTACATGCCTTGTCTATTGCGTACGCTGGCGTAAAGTTGCGTTGTTCTACCTGCCCAAAGATATGGCCCACCACGCCGCGACGCCGGATACATACCGGATCCCGTATCCGGTCGACGTCCTCGTCGGGCACATCTGCGAGGGACCGAGCGTACGTTGAAGTTAGTTGGCACGACCATTTTCTGAGATATCGACGTCGCCCATCTGTGTGGACCACGGTTGGTCGACTTTGGACGACGGTGGCGGACTCATCGCACACGGGCACACCGTCTGCGTCTCTTGACTCACGACCGTCAGCGGTTCGGCGACCTTGTAGAGGCTGGGTATCCGGATTTCTGCATGCGCCATGGGCGTCGACCAGTGATAGCACTGGCAGGGGCACTGTGGCGGCGGCGGTTCGTTGCGACGGCGTGGCGTCAGATACGTGCTCGAGCTCGATGGGTGCAGCGCGACGCTACGGTAGGGACGAGCGATTTTCTCCGTCGTCGAGTGTTCCGCAACGACCGTGTACGCGCGTGGTGTCAAGACGCGGCGTGGTGGGTCAACGTGGCAGCGCTCGAGAAACGCTGACGGCAGCGCGGGGCTCGAGGCCGGTGCCGGTCGCGGCGCGGCGGCTTCCGGAGCCGTCGCCCGTCGGATTGTCTGCACGTCCTATATCGCCCTTGTATGATACGATGTGTTACGGCGGGAGCATGACGTGGCAGACCTCCCATTGGCCGTCGCCATCATCGTACGCGACAAAGTACGTTGGGTGGCTGGCGTCTTGGATACGCCCATGGAACCACGCTTCTTCCGAAGCCCAGTACACATCGACGGCGTCGCCGACAGCAAAGCCGGCGCTCGTCGGCTTGCGCGGACTCTGGCTCTCGGCAACGAAGGATTCGTCGTTGTACGTCGACGCCTCGTCGCCATCGTCGTCGGGCTCCGACGCACGTTCCTCGGTAGGCGCCGATGCATGTACTCCCTCGTCCGGCTCCGAGTCGAGCGGCTCGTCGAGCTCCTCGAAAGACTCGTCGTATTCGCTCATGGTTCAATGGCCAAAGATCGCAATGAAGCTGGTTCGAGGCGTTTCTTTTCTGAGCTAAGAAGTTAGCGCCACCGCGCTTGTACGTCGCCAACCGTGGGCTCGCGTCAGCACTTAGCCTCCATGGAGCCACCTCATCAAACCGCTCGACGACGATACCATGGATCACCACGTGCAGAGTGGACGCGACGTCGTACCCATCGTCTTTACGAAGACGACTCGGTCTCGCCGCGTGGCCAAAGATATATTTGCCAGTTCCTCCGTTCTTTTGGAAGCGTTTGGTCTGTGGTCGGTAAAAAACAATTTATTGTATTAAAATAGACTACCAAATCGCCTCGGACTGAGACACGGTAACAGTCGCCAAATGAGTTTGCACTTGAAAAGGCAACAGTTCGAATCCAGACGCGACGTCCGCGCGCCAGAGATCGCGATGACGACACTACGCAATATGCTCTTGACACTGGCGGCGTGCGTCCTCGTCACGCTCCGCGCCTTGGCCGCGAGCGACGACAGCACGATCGGCGGCGGCGCCATCGACCCGGCGTACGGGCCCATCGACGCTGTCTACACGTGGGTCAATGGCAGCGACCCGGCGTGGCGAATAGCCAAGGCGCAGTGGCACCACCAGTGGCTCAGCGCGCTTCACGGCCGACCGATGGAGACGAACCCGCGCACCAAGGATTCGGCATCGGCCGACAACCGCTACCGGGACAACGACGAGCTCCGGTACTCGATTCGATCGCTGTACCAGTACGCGCCGTGGATCCGGCACATCTACATCGTCACGTACGACCAGGTGCCGACATGGCTCGACATGGCCAACCCGCACGTGACCATCGTGCCACACAGCACGTTTTTTGCCAACGCGTCGCACTTGCCGACGTTTTCGTCGCCAGCGATCGAGGCGAACTTGGATCGCATTCCCGGCCTCTCCGAGTACTTTCTCTACTTCAACGACGAGACGCTCCTCGGCGCGCCCGTGACGCCCGAGGATTTCATGAGTCGCGATGGTGCCCAGAACGTATATCTCTCGTGGACGATCCCCGAGTGCAACCACATGTGTGCCAACTGGATGCTTGGGAATGGCGTGTGCGACCGCGCCTGCAACACGGAAAGCTGCGCCTTCGATCACGGTGACTGCACCTGCACCAATGCTGAGATGCCCGTGGTAATCCTCGCTATGTGCAACCTTTCGAAATCTCAGATCTTAATACTTGTAGGTCGCCAACGACTGGAAAGAGAGTTGTCAGTTACCAGAACGACAATCAACGACAACAGCAAATGTCTGTGCGCCGGGCTGCGACTGGAACTTGCTCGGCGACGGCCAGTGCCAAGCCCACTGCAACTTTGCCGAGTGCGCGTTTGACGCTGGTGATTGCGACAAGACCGCGGTCGGGCTTCTGCCCCACGCTCGTCTCGACGCGTCTGTGGCCGACGCCGCCGTGCTCGTGGACCCATCGAGCTTTGTGCTCGTGTTGGACGACGTCACCGCTGCTTCTCTTGATACGCCCAGTGCGCTCGTTCTGCACACGGCGATCTCCCAGTCCAAGCTCTTTGTCTTCTTTGCGGTGAATAGCTCCGAGACGACTGCCGTCAAGGTCACATTGGCCAACGGGTCAACCGTGCGACTGCAGCTGGTGCCACACGGTATCGCTCTCAATGGCACGGGCTACGCCGTAGGGCTGCCGCCGCCGTCTCTCGGCGCCGCTGCGAGCGTCTCACCAGCGTTTGAACCGACGCAGCTGGCGGCGACGATCTACATTCCGTTCGCGTTGTTGCCCGACTGGACGAGCGAGACAGCGTTTCGCGTCAACGACGGCGCGGCCGTGACATGCCCGGTAGTCGACGCCGCATCACTAATCGATGTCGGCAGCGATAGCTACTGCGCCCTCAACACGACGGGGGTGTTGCTGCACGCTCGACCTGGTGCGGTGGCCAACGCACGCGTCTGCTTCACGAATGGCGGCAAGAGTGGCTGCATCGAGTACAGCAGCGTGACGGTCGTCGCACCGACGGTGGTCGATACAAAGTATCTCTTGCCAAAAACCAAGCACGAGTGCCACTGGTGGGATTGGTGCAACGTGGCCTACCCGACACTCGCCGACCGCTGTACGACGCCCGACACGAAAAAACGCACGGCGAGAGATCCTGCAGGTGCGGAGGCCAAGGCGATGACGCTCTGCACTCGTTTCGGCGCGGACCTCGTTGACGGCCCGTTCACAGCCGACGCGACGCAGCCGCTTCTCAACAAGGTACAACGGCATGATATACGCAGCTAAGTTCGTCGAGCTAGATGTGCCGCATCATGAACACGACGGACGAGGACCCGTTCTGGCTCCACGGATGTTCGCAGCCAGCCGCGACGCTTCCAGCCGCCGAGTTCGCGAACGCATCGTTGGACACATTTGGCGACTCGCTCAAGCACGTCAACAAGCTCTATGACGAAGCGTTTGGCAAGGCGAAGCGGCCTCGCCGCGTGCCGTCGCACATGCCCCACTTCATCCAGAAGCGGTTCCTCGCCGAGCTCAAAGCCCACTGGCCGGCCGAGTTCAACGCGACGTCGTCGCACCGCTTTCGCCACCCGAAAGACATGCAGTTTAGCTTCTCGTACATGCACTACGTCATGAACCGCCATCTGCTGCACCCGCCGTCATCGACCCGCGAAGTCTTTACGAACCTTATCGACATCAACCAGAACGGCCGCCTCGACGATTTCGAAGAGCCCAACGTTCTGGCGATCGTGCCCGAGGCGTCGCACGCACCGGTTCGCACACTGCTTGATGCGTGCCGGCGCGCCGCGAACGACTCGTCGTCGCTGACGCTCGCCGACATAACGGCGCACTGCCCAGGCCTGGAGCGGCGGCTGAGCCAAACCAACAGATCGCGGCCCACCCATCATCTCATGACCGAAGAGCAAGTGACGTTTCTCATGCTCGCAGAGTCCAGGGGCGCGTACGCCCAGCTGTACCGCGCCCGGTCGCGTCACACGAAATTTGTGTGCGTGAACGATGACATGCACAACCCGACGCCCGCGGTATGCTCTAATGGTTGTTCTTATTGCGTGTGCTTATTGAGTGGTGTAGTTTCACAAGATGCTGCAAGATTTCTTTCAGCTGCGCTGGGGCACACCGTCGCCAATGGAGCTGACGGGCGATGCCAACGATGCAAATGCGTGGGCAGCCAAGCCCCACTTCAAGGCAACGAGCCAGCTCAGTCAAGACATCGAATGGGGCGCGTTCTGGCCGTACCAGCTGCTACTCGTCGTAGCTTCCTGTGGCACCTTGTACTACATGGGCATGCACCAACGATGGCGGTCGTCGAGTCGCACTGCCAGCCTCGGCAAGGCACGCTGCAAATGATTTCCAACGTAGACTTTACCCTAACTTAAAAAGACACTTGTCAATGGACAGCATCGTCGGATAGTCCATGAACGTACGACGCATTGAACGACATTGAGATGAGCAGGATGCGCACCTCGAAGCAGGGTACACACATATGTGATCTACTTCTGACTCAGCCTACGAGATGACGTTGCGCTTCGACAGCTGAAGACGTGAGCCAACCACCGACGACGCGCAGCAATATCCCACAACGGCTCGCGAAGTCCATGTGCCTGTCGTGCATTTGTGCTCCCGGTGCGCCTTCTGCTTCATGTCGAGTGCGCGCTCTGCTTCATGTTGAGTGTGCACTCTGCTTGATGCTGAGTGCGCGTGTCGCGGCCAGGATGCCGACGTAATCTTCAACTGTCGGTGTCAGGACGATCTGTATGGAGCGTCTGCCCAGCGTCGGTGCACCGGGTAGATCCCATGCTTCGTTCGTGCCCTTGACCCGCCTTCAGACTCTGAACATCTCGTGCTTGCTGACGCCCGTCGGAGCCACTGCGGTGCTTGAGACATCAGAAGAATCGGTTCACATTTCGTATCAACTGCACGCCTACGTGCGCGACCTTCGCCACAACGCCACAGGCTTTAAGACGGCGATCCAGTGCCCCCCCGGTCGTACGCAGTAGCTTCGAATGTGGAATGACCTATTGTAGTGCATTTGTCGAATACTAGTGGCTTTCGCGATGCTACGAGGGGAGAGACAGGCTGCAGGATATTGTGTTGAGCTCGAAAGTGATTGAGCAGTGGGACGAATGAGAGCTGCGCGGTAGATAGAACGATAGGATGTGCCGGATGAGACCATCGCCAAGAGGCGCCAACTTGGGGCGCTACCGTACAGGGTCACTACCGGACATCATCCGTACATGGCACCTAGCCCTACCCTATCAACACCACGCACACCGACAACACCGACGCTCGGCTGCTCGCTTCCTGGAGTCAAAACTCTCCAGCGCAACACGCTGGCATCCGCCTGGCATGGCTTGACCAAACCAGAATCACCATACATTTCCGTGCATGTCTGCGGCAATTCTTCGTGCATTGAGCTCAGAACTGTTGTGTTGATCAACTCGAATTAACGCATTTCACTCTCGTGGCCTCATTGAGTGCGTTACGTACACACGGCAAGGTGTTTCCTTTCCTTAAGCTGCATCACCGCGGTTATTTTAGGCCGTGCAACCGCTAATGCAACCTCTGTGCTGTAGCACCAAGCGTGCACTAGAGCCAACGGGCAACGTCAACCAACGTTTTATGACCTTATCATAAAGCGTTGCGTACAGAGTAGAGCCTACTCGTGCCCATCGTCTGCACGATGCACTGGATCGTGTCGGGGTGGACTAAGAGATCTTTGCTTTTTGTCAGCTTCTCGGTTCTCGATAAAACATTTGGTCGGCCTTTTGCAGCAAATCTACCGAAATCGTTTCCAGCTGAAACCACCGCAACCGTCGTCGTTCGAGTTCGCACTTCAAAAGATAGCAGTTCGAATCAAGACTCAAGATCCAGATGACGAGAGTTAATGTGCTCTTAACGCTGGCGGCGTGCGTCCTCGTCACGACCTGCGCCTTGGCCGCGAGCGACGACAGCACGATCGGCGGCGGCGCCATCGACCCGGCGTACGGGCCCATCGACGCTGTCTACACGTGGGTGAATGGCAGCGACCCGGCGTGGCGAATAGCCAAGGCGCAGTGGCACCACCAGTGGCTCAACGCGCTCCACGGCGGGCCAATGAAGGCCAGCCCGACCGCCAAGGATGCGGCGTCAACCGACAACCGCTACCGCGACAACGACGAGCTCCGGTACTCGATTCGATCGCTGTACCAGTACGCGCCGTGGATCCGGCATATCTACATTGTCACGTACGACCAGGTGCCGACATGGCTCGACATGGCCAACCCGCACGTGACCATCGTGCCACACAGCACGTTTTTTGCCAACGCGTCGCACTTGCCGACGTTTTCGTCGCCAGCGATCGAGGCGAACTTGGATCGCATTCCCGGCCTCTCCGAATACTTTCTCTACTTTAACGACGAGATGTTCCTCGGTGCGCCCGTGACGCCCGAGGATTTCATGGGTCGCGATGGCACTCAAAACGTATACCCGGCGTGGGAAATCCCGTACTGCAACCACATGTGCGGCAACTGGTTGCTTGGGAATGGCGTGTGCGACCGCGCCTGCAACACGGAAAGCTGCGCCTTCGATCACGGTGACTGCACCTGCACCAATGCTGAGATGCCCGTGGTAATCCTCGCTATGTGCAACCTTTCGAAATCTCAGATCTTAATACTTGTAGGTCGCCAACGACTGGAAAGAGAGTTGTCAGTTACCAGAACGACAATCAACGACAACAGCAAATGTCTGTGCGCCGGGCTGCGACTGGAACTTGCTCGGCGACGGCCAGTGCCAAGCCCACTGCAACTTTGCCGAGTGCGCGTTTGACGCTGGTGATTGCGGCGACAAGACTGCGGTCGGGCTTCTGCCCCACGCACGTCTCGACGCGTCTGTGGCCGACGCAGCCGTGCTTGTGGACCCATCGAGCTTTGTGCTCGTGCTGGACGACGTCACCGCTGCTGCTCTTGATGCGCCCAGTGCGCTCGTTCTGCACACGGCGATCTCCCAGTCCAAGCTCTTTGTCTTCTTTGCGGTGAATAGCTCCGAGACGACTGCCGTCAAGGTCACATTGGCCAACGGGTCAACCGTGCGACTGCAGCTGGTGCCACACGGTATCGCTCTCAATGGCACGGGCTACGCCGTAGGGCTGCCGCCGCCGTCTCTCGGCGCCGCTGCGAGCGTCTCACCAGCGTTTGAACCGACGCAGCTGGCGGCGACGATCTACATTCCGTTCGCGTTGTTGCCCGACTGGACGAGCGAGACAGCGTTTCGCGTCAACGACGGCGCGGCCGTGACATGCCCGGTAGTCGACGCCGCATCACTAATCGATGTCGGCAGCGATAGCTACTGCGCCCTCAACACGACGGGGGTGTTGCTGCACGCTCGACCTGGTGCGGTGGCCAACGCACGCGTCTGCTTCACGAATGGCGGCAAGAGTGGCTGCATCGAGTACAGCAGCGTGACGGTCGTCGCACCGACGGTGGTCGATACAAAGTATCTCTTGCCAAAAACCAAGCACGAGTGCCACTGGTGGGAGTGGTGCAACGCGACGTACCCGACGCTCGCCGACCGCTGCACAACCCCTAGCACGAAAAACCTCACGGCGAGAGATCCCGCGGGTGCGGAGGCCAAGGCGATGACGCTCTGCACTCGTTTCGGCGCGGACCTCGTTCACGGCCCGTTCACGGCCGACGCGACGCAGCCGCTCTTTGAAAAGGTACGACCGGAATGATGGGACCCGGTTAACGCCATTGCGATAGATGTGCCGCATCATGAACACGACGGACGAGGACCCGTTCTGGCTCCACGGATGTTCGCAGCCGATTGTGATGCTGCCCGTCGACGACGCGGCAAAATCATCGATGGACGCGTTTGGCTACTCGCTCATGTTCGTCAACAAGATCTATGACCAAGTGTTCGGTAAAGCATCGCTGCCGCGCCGCGTGCCGTCGCACACGCCCTATTTCATCCAGAAGCGATTTCTCACCGAGCTCAAAGCCCACTGGCCGGCCGAGTTCAACGCGACGTCGTCGCACCGCTTCCGGCACCCGAAAGACATGCAGTTTAGCTTCTCGTACATGCACTACGTCATGAACCGCCATCTGCTGCACCCGCCGTCATCGACCCGCGAAGTCTTTGCGAACCTTATCGACATCAACCAGAACGGCCGCCTCGACGATTTCGAAGAACCCAACGTTCTGGCGATCGTGCCCGAGGCGTCGCACGCACCGGTTCGCACACTGCTTGATGCGTGCCGGCGCGCCGCGAACGACTCGTCGTCGCTGACGCTCGCCGACATAACGGCGCACTGTCCCGGCCTGGAGCGGCGGCTGAGCCAAACCAACAGATCGCGGCCCACCCATCATCTCATGACCGAAGAGCAAGTGACGTTTCTCATGCTCGCAGAGTCCAGGGGCGCGTACGGACAGCTGCACCGCGCCTGGTCACGCCCCACGAAATTCGTGTGCGTGAACGATGACATGCACAACCCGACGCCCGCGGTGAGCTCTCATCACTGTTCTTATGGCGTGTACTTATTGAGTGGTGTAGTTTCACAAGATGCTGCAAATTTTCCTGCAGCTGCGCTGGAGCACACCGTCGCCAATGGAGCTGACGGCCGATGCTAGCAATGATACTACCGTCAGCCATGCCAGGCCGTGGGTCAAGCCGCACTGGGCCGAGCCGCGCTTCAAGGCGATGCGGCAGCTCAGCCACGATGTCGAGTGGGGCGCGCTCTGGTCGTACCAGCTGCTTGTTGTCATGGTGTCGAGCGGCACCTTGTTTTATTTGAGCATGTACCAGCGATGGCGGTCGTCGAGTCGCGCCAAGAGCCTCGACAAGAAACTTTCCGAGTGATCTGGAGCGTCGTTTATTAGCTCAAACGTACTAGTACTATCGCGTTGCAATAGAAATACATTGTCTGGTGTCGTCCATGACGCGTCGCGTGTCATTCGTATGTGGAAGAGCTATCTGGGAGGGTCATTCCTTTGTTTCCGCCTTTGTACTAGCACTCCGGCAAGGGTTGATGCGCCAAGTGGGAGAAGGCAACCTGTGACAGTTGATAGATTGCACGGGATATGCATTGATAGAGGCTCATCGCGCCAGGCGAGTGGTGTTTTGCCGTCTACACACTAAAATCGTCGGCGCGAACATGAGTCGGGTCAAAGCCAAGCCCAAGCCCATGGAGACGGCGCCGGTAGAAACCATCGACGCGCATGCACCGGCGAGAAGATCGTTCGCTGCATGGGCCCTCGGCGCCACGAGCCTCGCGCTGCTCACACTGGCGTGGCTGCTGCTCGTGCAGGTCGACGACGTCGACGACGGCTACTACCCGAGCCAGCGCTACGGCAACATTGGCAACATCCACTTGCCGACGAGCGCGCCGTACATGGGCTACGGGCCCATTGACGTTGTCTACACGTGGGTCAATGGCACGGACCCGCGCTGGAAACAGGAGAAGACATATTGGCACCGCCGATGGAACGCTGAGATCCACGGCGACTTGTTCAACGAGACTGACAACACAGCTGTGGCCGACGCGTCTGCCTCTGCGTCCGAGAACCGGTTCCGCGACAACGAAGAGCTGCGCTACTCGCTGCGGTCGATCGAAAGTACGCGCCGTGGGTGCGCCACGTGTACCTCGTGACCGACGGCCAAGTCCCGAGCTGGCTCAACCTCGACTGCCCGCGGTTAACCGTCGTGCCGCACCGCGCTATGTTTGCCAACACGTCGCACCTGCCCGTGTTTTCGTCGCCGGCGATCGAGGCCAACCTCGATACGATTCCCGGGCTCTCGGACCACTTTCTCTACTTTAACGACGACGTCTTCCTCGGCGCGCCCGTGACCCCCGAGGACTTTATGAGTCCGTCCGGCGTCCAAAACATTTATCTTTCGTGGGAAGTGCCCGAGTGCGCGCAGCACTGCGGCGAGCCCCTGCTCGGCAACGGCGTCTGCGACAGTGCATGCAACGTCACTGCGTGCGGCTTTGACATGGGCGACTGCGGCTGCACCGAGACCTTCCGCGCTGTACGCGGCTTCTCTTCTCTTCCTTGCGTCGCTCACAGTGTGCATGGTAGGACGACCCGCTGCAGCTGCCGCACGTCGAGTGCACGCCGTCGGCCACGTCCGAGCCGGATGCCGAGACGCCGCCACCGACGCTCGCCGCGTCGACGCTCGCGCCGCACCTCTGCACCGACGGCTGCACGTTTTCGTGGATCGGCGACGGTGTCTGCGACCTCCGTTGCAACGTCACCGAGTGCGCCTACGACGGCGGCGACTGCGGCGTCGGCCTCTTCTCGCGCCTCCCGTCGTCGGCTGTGCCAGCCAACACGACGTCGCTTACGATCGTAATGGCTGACACCTCGCCTGTGCTCGTGGTCAACATGTCGGAGATCTTTGAGTTTGTCGACGCGGCGTCCCTCGACAACGACGAGCTTGTGCGCCACGCGACGCTGCTGGAGGCCAACATGAGCCTCGTCCTCGTACTCGCGCGGCACGACTCGAGCGGCAGCGTGACCAACGCGACCGAGATCGTCATCCGCGGCGCTCCGCTCGGAGACGAAGAAAGCAGCGCCAACTTGACGCTCCACCTCGTACGCGGCCAGCATGGCTTGCTCCAAGGCCGGTACACGCCGCAGCCAGCGAATGAAATCGACTTGAGCGATCTGCGTCTGCAGCAGCAACCGTCGATGGATGATGGCACCATCGACCTCGACGTACGCTTGCCGTTCTTTGCCGTGCCCGACTGGAGCGAACAGGTGCTCGTCACGTCCAACTGGGTCGCCCACGATGCGGCGCAGCACACTAAGACCTTCCACGCGACGTGCCCTGTCATTGCTCCGGCGCCCGAGGCAACTGCCACCGCCGACACCGCCGACTGCGTCATTGAGGCACAGACGCTTCGAGTGCGCTTCTCGTGGTCCGTGCCCGATTCTAGTGCCGGTGTCGTGCATGGAAAGATCTGTGTGTGGAACCGACCGAGTAGCAACTGTGTCGACGTGGCGCTCGCATACGGCGCTGCGATTGTGCTGTCGCCGGCGACGGCTGCCGAACCTTGGAATGGCCTCTTCGATGCGGGCGAAGACTGCGTGCTCGCCGACTACGTGGCCCGCTCAGTCTGGCGCCGCTTGTCGGGCACTTGCGCCCCGCAGCGCGTCGAGTCGCATGCTGCTGACGGCAACGAGGCAGCGACAAGCGATGCACTGCCCGCCGTGGACCCGTTCGTTCGCGACCAAGCGCTGCTCATGTGTCGCCAGCTTGCCAACCGCCGGTACAAGGCCGACGCGATCGCCGCGACGTCGTGGTGGACACCGGTGCGCCATCGCGAATATGTGATTGAGCGGTCGTGACAACTGTCTTCCCTAGGTGACGGACGCGGCTCGGTTCCTCAGGACGAAGCTGGGTCTCGCAACGGTGGCGCCGGCGAATACGACGGCGTGGGCACTATCGACGCCGAATGTGGAGGCGTGCGCCGACTTTTTCTCGCATGTGGAGCCCGGCGCGATCGATGCGTCGCCGCTGCCACCCCGCGACGACGACGCGGTTCGGTCGATGGACACGTTTGGCGACTCGCTTCGGCACGTCAACAAGCTCTACAATAGCGTGTTTGGCAAGACGCCAACAGCCGACCGTCGCCGCGTCCCATCGCACATGCCGCACTTTATCCAAAAGAAACTGCTCACGGAAATGAAGGCGCAGTGGCCGCTGCAGTTCAACGCGACGTCGTCGCACCGCTTCCGGCACCCAAAGGACATGCAGTTTAGCTTTTCGTACATGTACTACGTCGTGAACCGCCATCTGCTGCACCCACCGACGCTCGACGAGATCTTCGCCACGTACATTGATCTCAACAAGGACGGCGTCATCGACGAGCACGAAGTGCTCAGCGTCGCGTCGCTCTTGACGACCGAGGAGCACCCTTCCGAGGCCGATGTCAACGACGTCAAGCGCTGTCTCACGCCGCCGCCGGTCGCAACGACGCTGGTCCATGACGAAGCGCGACGAAGCGGGCGCGTGACCGTCACAGAAACCATCCAGCCGTACAAGACCCTCGAGAGCCTCAAGGCGTGCACGAATGTGAGCGCAAGGTTGATTGCAACCGTGCAGGCGCGGCGGCCGATCCTGCACCGGTTCGTCTCGGAGAGCGAGGTGACGTTCCACATGCTCAGTGACCAGTACCGGACGGCGTGGAACCAGCTGCTCAACACGCGTGCCCGGAAGACCAAGTTTGTGTGCATCAACGACGACATGAAGTACCCGTCCCAGGCGGTCAGCGGCATCCTCCACGATCTCTTTACCTCGCTTTGGCCGGACCGGTCGCAGTTTGAGCTGCCGTTCCACTTGACCAACAAGTACGGACACGTCGACGAGATCGCGGCTGGCCGTGTGTGGCAGTGGCAGCTCGCGGCCATGACGGCAGTGCTGCTTGCGGGTCTCTACGTTATCTTTGCCTGGTACTTTCAGTATGAGACACCCACAACAACCACGACAACCACGACGACAACGGCAACGACAACGGCAACGACAACCGCCACGATCACCGCGACGACGACCGCAACAACCGACGAGTAGACGACTAGAGTTGCGTGATTTTTAAGCCATGGAATCGAACCGTGGGCAGTACTGTCGATTGAGACTTTGTTGCTGACCTGGAATGAGCATCCAATGGCCAAGCGACGCTCGTCGCTGGTGATGTCGCTTGGCCGTCTGAAGAGAGAAAAACACCCCCGTATGGAGGCGACTTGTCCGAGAGGTCCTTGGCCCAGCGCATGGAACCGAGCGCGTCCATTCATATCATCTCGTCGCGCCAGCTCTCCGCTGAGCGAAGATCCCATTTGACCATATTGAGTACGCGGATGAGGCCGATGGTTTCGAGGCACCGGGGATTGCCACGTCATAGATGCGCGTCCTATGATTGGTCCATTCACATTGCACTTGCCACCGGATCGACATACTAGTACTGCCACACGTCGACGAGGCTATTGCGGAAGATGACCATGTGGATATAGCAGTTGCGATTGACGCGCAAGCAAAGAAGCACTCGTAGAGGACGATGGGGCCAAAGCCGTCCGCGTTGAGGTCGTCTTCCTGGTACACATACTAGCTCGACGCATGAACACCGACCAAGTGATATATCCTTTTGTAGCGCGGAATTGGCAAGATACCACATGAACTCTCGCTCGTACCCATCAGAGCATTGGCCACCTCGACGGCGGTACACAGGTGTCGTCGTAATCTTGGAACAGACAGCGTTGTCGGCAAGGAACGTAAATTACATAAATTGACTCGCGAGACAACCCATTGCATAGGGCAAGTTAAACATAGAAAGGCACCGCCCTAAGCGAGCGACAGCGATCTTGTTGCTTGGAGGGTTTGGGACTTTGAGGGATGATATACCCAAGAGAACCATGTCGAAGCTGACGCCGGCGGCTCGAGCCTTGGCAACGAGTCCGCTCTTGTCTTCCACAGTCCGCTCTTGTCGTCCACGTGCAAAGAGCAGTCATGTGAGAGCCGGACCGACACGTTCGTGCACGTTGCGACGGCCTAGAGCAGGGCTTGCACACTGGGGAGACGAAGTCGGGTGCCCGTGAGATTGAGCACAAACCCTTCGGGGCGCGTGGGTCGCGCGCAATACTTTAGCCATCACTAGTACGCCAGCCGAGGTACAGATGAGGAAGCTCACGCAGCATGCCCCGGTGTTGGCGCACCGCTGCAGCGTGGTCCCGGCACAGTTGATATTCGTGCCCAAGAGCGCGCAAGAACGAAACTTGACCAACTCGAGACGCTTCGAGCTCGTGGCCCAGCGGACGAGCGCATCGAGACACGCCTCGGACAAGTCGACCTGGTCAAACTTGAGCGTTCGGAACGTTGACTCCAGCGCAGTGGTTGGTTGGATGGCAGGCGTGCCGCAGACACAGAGGTCCTTCAAGTCGAAATGCTCGAGCGCGGACAAGCGCGGTAGCACAGCCACAAAGAAGTTGCCAAATCCACAGCGCTTCTCATTACGATCCGAGAGGCTTGGATCACGAGCGACTTCATCTGCTGCAGCGGAAGCAGCGCAATGAAACGCTCAACGAGACGCACGACGCGATTGACCATGACGTGGCAGCACCGTAGGGAGTCTATCCAAACGACCCAAGGTGCACCTTCCTCGGCCACACGCTTGCTGTTGATGGTCCGTCGGCAATGCGTTTCTCAAAAGAGTACTTGAGCCTCGAGGCAACGTTCGTTGCCATTCTCACCAGGGTTAACAAACTGAACGATTGTTTCTTACGTTATTCAAGATAATGACGTGGCGAGCTTTCAGTATAGGCAACGACATGGTAGCTCAGAGCACCCATACACTCAAGGCTGGCGAGGTATCAAGATAAGGAAGAACGCTGCGTCTAGAGCGGACATTTTACACTCGTATCGCACCTTGGCTTTGTCTGCGCTATTCGCGTTGTCTGTGATGCGTGTGTTGTCCGTGGGTTCAGTTGCTCTAACTCGTTCGACTGGCCTCAAGATTCTTCATCTCTCGAGGCAAGCATTCGATTTGTACCGGTAGCCTCAAGCAGCCACTTCAGCGAGCCTCGAAAGCCTCGTGCAAATCCGAGGAGGCTGGGCGCTGCCCAAACTGGACGCTGCTCATACCGTACGGGGTTGCCGCCGACGTTTTGCGCTGCGTTGTGCGCCCACCCTTCGCTATATCAAAACAGCACAGAGGTGTGTGCGTAGAGCATCTCTTGCCGCTCGGTTCAGGCTGCAGAAAGCGAGCAAAGTTCATCAAGCTGTCCAGTCTCGTCGTGGTCGTGGGTGTTGATGGATCGGCTTTTCGTGTCTCGTGCGTTTAGCATTCAACGAATTCGTCAACCCATCGCACTTTCGCCTTGTAAAACTGAGCCACCGATAGCGTCCACTGCTTGCAGCTGCGTCGATCGATCGATCGCGATCCGACGGGCCACAACACTGCTACTTCATCACAGCACTTTTCGCAACAGAGTGGGCGCGAGAAGTAGTTGCAAGAGCTCTGCGGATCAAATATTATTTAACAGTATAAACAGTACGGATCTAAACAAACACTGCCCTCGATGTAGCTCCAAGATGTAGCGCTGACAAGTAACTTGGGGTATAGTGCAGCCTTGGTGATGACGTGGCACCACAGTGCTGCACTATGCATGCGAAACGCGGAGACGGTCAGCTTGACGCACCGTGTGATCCTCGGGCATGTGCCGGTACACCGGGGTCCAGCGTCTTCAATATTTGGAACGAACGCAGACCAGAAAGCGATTGCACATCTTGTGCATGTTCGCTGGCGACCGAGTGTCGACGCTTGCGGCCACGCGTGCGCTATTAGCTGCTAGTCGATCCTCCCACCCACGCCACTTGGACTTTGAGGCGCACGGCTTCGTGGCTGGTACAGTGTACCATGTTGAATCTCGCAGCATGAGAAGCTACTACGCGGATTGTTGACGCGTCTCTGTCAATTTGGCACCGTGGGACCAACGCTGCCCAGCGTTGCTAGTGTAAAACCCAGAGTGATATACCCTTTTACCCGATGATCGCGTGTGGGGCAAACCAATCCGAGACATAAGACACGTGAAAATCCCACCCACCACACATTTAGCCCAAAATAAAATGCGAGATATCATTTCACCCTTGTACATTATATAAACAAGTTTGTGACGTGGCGTACCGACATGCCGCGTACCTCCCAATCAAACACGGTGGTGTAGCGCGTCCAGAACGCGGTACCCAGCGTGGTGGTCCGATGCCAACTTAAAGACGCACGGAAAGGTCGTGCGCAGCTCCTTCTGGTCGCTTGTCTTCTCGTTGTAGCACCACTCCCCGGACCGCTCGCGAACCATGTGCCGGAGCCAGCGGACGAGCCCAAACGTGTGTTTCTTCATCATGTAGTCGGCTCGCCCGGGCGTGTCCAGCGTCATCCAGTGCTCGCGGTCGAGGAGCAAGAAGGAGCCCGTCAAGGTCATGATGCTTCCATCAGCTTTCGGCTGCATCGTTGCCCTAGACCAAAGCATTGGCATTTCGAGATGCAGGAGCGTCGTACGTGCACATGAGCCCAAGACTGTGGAGCTCATAGTCGAGGATATGGATATGGACTTCATACAGGTCGCGGACTTTTGCGCGAAAGCAGCAAACGTACACGACCATGTCTGTGCCAAGCAAGCAGACGCGCGCAATGAGGAAGCTCGCGCCGCGGTTCACGATCTAGGCGCAGCATATGAGATCCAGTGGGACGATCCAGCAGCATACCGTGAAGTCGGTTAGGTGGTAGCCGTACATCGCATCAAAGTCTGTGCGTGTCGCGTGGAGATCCCAGACGGCGTCGGCAGCATCGGTAGCCGTCATTGCCAGCGGTGGCGTCTGCACAAGGTACGATACAGCGCTCGTGCGCTCGTCCAAGAAGGTCGTAAAGTGCCACGATGCACTCAAGGTTGGCGCGACGGTCAAGCGCGAAGCCAGCGCCTGCGTCGTGGCCTTGGTCGCATCGCACAGACGACTCAAGTACGCTCGGTCATAGACGTTGGGCGGTACGCGTGCGAGCAGCGGCGGCAACGGGAGCTGGTGCGCAATGCAGTGCGCGACGATCTGCCGTCGCAGGAGCACGATCTGCACCTGCTTGTCGTCAATGCAGCGGTTCAAACGGTCCAAAATCTTGGCCACACGTCGCGCATCCAGCAACTCTCTTAGACGCGTTAGGCGTGCGAGCCACAACGAGGCGCGGCGGAGCCCACGAGACGATGCGAGCGCGTCTCCGTACACGTCCTATGCACAGCATCGTCATTTGCTATGGGCACGAGAGCTTACCGGTAGCGCAAACTTGGTCGTGGCGGCGTTGCGGTCTTGGCGCAGCGCATGGAGCTCGTGCTGGAGCCGTGTGAGCTCGTAGCGCATCTATGCACACAGTGCGTTGACGGTCTGTCCTTGCCGCGTGTGTACCTGCGCGAGCACTGCAACGACGGCTTTGCGTGGCATCTCAAATGTGGAACTGCTGTTTGTGCCAAGATCGCCAGGCGTGCCCCGGGGCACATGGCGCGACTAAATTTATCCCACGGACAAACATGTTCCTCGACGATGCGTCCAAGGCGCACAACTTCCGGCAGGTCGGCACCAAGCACGCAGGCAGCGTCCGGAAAGGCCACGTCCAAGTCCGCCCCGTTCAGCACCAGGTACGCCATCCATCTAGTGTCCTCCCGATCGGTAGAAAGCGCGGTGTAGAAACCTTCGGCGTCGATTCCATCTAAGTTTGAAACCATCTTGAACGCGGGCGAGCGCGAGACGAATGCGTTCGGAAGCCGCACCAACCGGTTTGGCGACGCCGAGGTCCATACCGTCCACGTCCTATGGCGCACGCGTATCCATATAGCGCCTTGTAGAACGAGCTGCCAGGGCCCGGCGCGTATTATAAGCCACCGACGCTGCTTGTGACGACCGAGACGTCGGGCAGTGTGTCCCAGAAAGGCTATGGCACGGGCTTCGTCTCCAAGGTAGACGTGTATATTTCTCTATCGATGTACAGAGTGTCATTCGCCGTGGACAGGTCAAGCGCTTCTCCAACCAAACGTACGAGACGGTGCCGGGGCCGGGACAGTACACGTCGTCGCTGTACACACGCCAGCGCGTGCTGTTTCAGAAGACTCAACAAGTCCTGTAGGCCCGACAAGCCGTCGTTCAACCGGCGAATTGGCCTCAGCAGCTTCGCGCCCACCGTACTGTCTGGATGCTCGCGATCATTGCACTGCAAACCGCTGGTAGGAGCGCTCCAACAACCAAGCGTCGTCCAATGTGCCAGGCCCGGGCAACTACAACGTCAAGGAGCCGCGCCACAACGCACCGAGCGGGCGCAGTGCGTTCGTCTCCAAGTCCCACCGCGGCTTTGTACCCCGCTCCGATGTGCCAGCCCCCGGTACACGCATCGCAGTCGATGTGCCTTATGCATACGTGCATGCTGCAGGGCAGTACGAAAACCCGATCGAGCTCGGGCGGGACGCCGACTGGGACCGGCCCCAAGGCATTTTTCGGTCCAGCGTCAAGCGCGTCGAGACACCCAAGACGCTCGCCGTGCCTGGTATCGGCTTTGGATATGACGCTAGAATGCAAAAAATCTCTGTTTAGGGCCCGGTGCGTACGGCGTTGAAGCGGCGGAGAAGCACCTGCTTCGGGACACGATTGCGCAAGCGCAAGCAAGCAGCATGTTCAAGAAGGGCGCCGCCGACCGGTTTGGCCACTTGAGCTCGCGCAAAGGCGACGCGGTGGACGTTCCTGGTATGTTCTTCTTCTGTCTCCGAACCTCGACAAAGACGTGTAGGTCCGGGCGCCTACGACGGGTCGGCGCCGCAGTCGACAGCCGTCGTCTCGAGCGTTTTCAAGTCGTCAACCAAGCGCGGCCAAGACTTGCTACGAGGCAAGGCGCCCGGCCCAGGTACGAATCGAGACGACACATACGTTCTTATGGTCGACGACTTAGCGTTCTACAAACCGGCGGTGAGCCCGACGAAGAGGTCGCATCTTCTTAACGGGACCAAAAAGTGGCTTTAATACGGTGGCAAAATCAAGTTATTCGATGGGTTTGCCAGCGCGGAAATTCTCAAAGTACCGCGCGACTTGGGCCATGCAGAGGTCTTGGGTCGCTTCCGGCAGCTCGTAGGTCGACGTACCTACGACCGTGGGCACCGAGCCATGTCGCAAATCGCTCGATTACCTGGAATGCCACTCACATGCGTGTACGGCGGGATGATCTCGTCCGACGCGATGATCGTGTTGTCGGCAATGTAGCAGCAGTCGCGGATGATCACGCGCTTGCCCTCGTATCGCATGTGAGACGTCGGACGCTACCAGGAGGGCGACGTACGATGACGCAGTTCTTCCCAATCTGCACACACGATCCAATGCGTGCGGCCTCGATGATGGAGCCTTCGCCAATGTACACGTGGTCGCCGACGGTCTGCGGAATGAAGAGCATGCCACTAGCTCGCCGTAGTCTTGAAAGGCGCCAGTAGATGCATGTACGTACGTGGGAAGGATCTTGGGCGGCGGCTTGAGCACGCAAGACTCGCGGATGATGCAGAGCTTCCCGAGCGAGATCTTGGCAAGGTCGCCACGCAGGATCGTGGATGCGTTGATGATGGTTTTGCCCCGGAGCAGGATGTTCTTGGTGCAGCAGAGCGTCGAGTCACGGCTGATCTTGTTGCCCTACGCGGCCTCGTGAGGCCACATGCAGCGAGCGCCCAGCGAACCGAGGCGGTGCAGATGTAGTGGTCCGGGTCGAAGAAGACCGCGCCGGCCTCCACCTCGGCGTTCATGCTTTGTCAAAACCTCCCACAACGGATATTGACCGAAAACGAATACATTGGCGATCTTCGAGGCTGATTCCACGCAACCCCACAGTGACGTGGCAAACGCTGAGATCGCCATGACACACGATTCTATCATGGGCAAGGAGGTACTAGTATGGCAACCGTGGACGATGCGGAGGCCGGTCCACCGAGGATAATAGAATGTGCGTACGGGTACCAAAGCGTAAGCAGCAAAATGACGAGACTGGCGATCACGACGGTGACGAGACCCACAACGACGAGGCCAGCAACGCAAGCGCGGGTCCGCGAGAGGCGACGGCTCGTGGCAAGCCACCCTTGCTCTTCGAGCGATGGAAACACGTACGCTGCAGCAAGTGTCGGCACGACGTTCATCAGGTAGGTGAAGGCATACGTCACGGCCACGTCGTTTCGTACTGCATCCGAGTCGGTAGCAATGCGTGCTGGCGTGACGAGAAACAGCGCACAGGAGACGTTGGCGACGACCGCAGCGCAGACCATCGCGGCGCTGGTGGTTGCCGTCAAGAGGTTGCGAAAGAGCGCGATGGTCGACTCGTCGTTTGCAACCTCGCGCAGCGCATCCGTAAACTCAAAGGTGAGAAAGGCCAGCTGCATGCTGTGGGCACCGGTGGGCACGACATCGAGGAACGCCATGGTGAGGAAGAACGTCTCGTTGCGCACGACATTGGCGATGGCAAGACCGTGCACGAGGGCGTGAAGGCCCGTGGACGCTAGCGTCGTCAGGATCAGAGTGCGACGATAGCTCCAGCCAATGCCGTACACGGCCGTGGCAGTGACGACAAGTGCAACGCCGGCACTGCTACCGACATGCCATAGCACGTAGCTCCGCGATTCAATCTCGCCCCAGAAATACTTTACGTACGGCGCCGCTGTGGATGCCATTGTCGTCGCACCAAAAAAGTGCACCGTGCCGCTGGCCAAAATGTGTTGGCGGACCGTCGAGGAGCGCACAAGGCGCAAAAGACCACGCATGTCGGACTTGAGGCACCGTCGTGACGCTTCCGCGTCGACAACGTAGCACCACGAGAGGACGAACAGGCTACCGCTCGCCGCAGCGAGGAGCCCAAAAAGCAGCGCGATCGGTGCATGCTGCGACGAGGCGCCGCCAAACGCTGGCGTATTGAAGCCGCACCCAACGAGGATGCTTGCTGTCGCACTGGCCAGTGCCCGGGAACCAAAGACGCAGGCATCGAGGTGGCGCTGGTTGACGCTGCAATTGGCGCTGTACCGAGCGACGAGTGCGTCTGTGCTGCTGTGCACCATGGCCGCGCTGAGACTCGGAATGAGTAGCGTCAACGCCAGCGTTGAGCCCTGTGCAATCGCCGCTGGATTGATGCAATGACGTCGCGGCGCGAGCGGGCGCAGCGTATAGATGTCAAAGGGTTGTCCGTGGTCGCGCAGTGCCAAGACACCAAGGCTGAGACTGCAGCATGCCCAGCCGAGAAGCATGTATGGCTTGTGGTGCCGGCCGACAATGGGATGGTACATGGCGAGAAGATGGAATGCAGGCTTTCCTGCCCACGCGGCGGTCAGCAACGCAACGATCGCATTGAGGTGCTGGCCCGGCAATCGAAAGTACGCGACGAAGAAGGGATACCCGAGTGATATGATCGCGCCGTGAAGAAGACCAATAGCAATGTACTGGGAAAGAAGCGGCCACAGCTGCCGAACGTGCTTGGCGAGCGGCTCGACGAGGTCGACCGGGACAGGGCTAAAGGCATCGAGGCGAAGGGACGAGCTGAAGACCGAGACGCGGTCTGCGAGGCCGTCAAAATGTATCATATAAAGGTAAATCGTAGTCTGTGCACGCTCTCGGCGCTCATGACTGCATCTAGTTCGACTCAGATGCGGGTTAAAGACTCAGATGGGGGGTACTTGTTGCTTGGCAACGACGACTTACTGCGGACCGATGTGTCGAAGTGCCACCTTCTCGACTAAATCGTGAACTTCTGTCGTACAAATGCTACGGTGTTGGCATTTGAGAGCGCGGGTAAACGTCAAACGGTCTCGTGGCTTTGGACACCCCACTGATTTGACTCCTGCATAAACGGGTCTGCTCCATCTGATAACTCAAGAAGGCGCGGCAATGTCTGCGGGACTCTTAGCCGTATATCGAGAGCCAATCGTCAAGCCGCAAAGCCGCGTCGATTTTTGTGTTTGGTGATCATTAGGAGGTTAGGAGTTTACCGGTAGGATGTTAGGAGTCCAAGGGTCTCGTTCTGCTTCTGATTCTGGGCCACAGCAGCTGGGCACATACTGCAGTGGACGACGCAATCATTCGACAGTACAAATACATGTAGCATTTTCGCATCGTGCATCGTAGGCCGGTATCATGAACCCTTTAACTTCAAGGGTTCGTGATGCGTATCAGATCCTTAAAGGTGTTAAGGATCCGAAACGTGGGGCATGATTCGAGTCGTGGTCGAAAAAGGGATATCTTCTTTACTTTGCTGTAAAAAGCACATTGTTGCGCACCATGGTTGCGCACCAACGAGAGAATCAATAGCGTAACATTCCCGACGATAATATGGAATTTTCACTTGGATCGCTGACAAACAGGTAAACCTGACATTCACTGGAGCTGTGATCCAGCGTCTGGAGGTAGCAGTACTACGCTTCCGCTGCAATGCACAAGCTCCACGTGACTTGAATTCAGCTTGGCTACCTTGTTTTGTTCCGCAGCGTTATGGAAGTGCCATCGTACGCGCCATTTCGAAGCGACAAGACAGGTAGGAAGGCTAGCTACGCGCCATAAAGGAGACCGACCTATCCGCTGGCGCAAATATAACAATATCAGTAGTATACTAATGTTATATTTTGCTACTACTTTGCGAATGCTTATTTCACAGGCTTATACATGTAAATGAAGTTACTCGGTGGACTACCGGTTCTAATTCTTCAAGATCCATCGATCAGCGCGTTTGATTGGTGGTTTCACCCGCGGTTTCAAGCCAATCAACGATGACTCATTGATCGCATGGACTTGAGATTGAGCAACTTGGCCGACAAATTAATCATCCATGTCGCGTTGGCTCTTTATGATTCCTTGGCTCAACCACAAAGCACGACTGGCTCGTTGTCGTTGACGACAGGCGACAGCCAACAGCGAGACGGCGGTGCATTCGTGCTTCAAACGGGTGCTAGCCAGGCGAGCCATGGCGGTGACGTCGTGATGGCCACGGGCAAAGGTGCACTTCGAAGTGGTCACCTCCGCTTGGCAGCTAGTGGCGCTGCTACGAAAGGTGGCAGTATCGCTCTCTCGACGGGCGCGTCTTCGTCCGCATCGGGCAGCATTGCGCACTAGGTCGTCAATACACCCTACTGAGGCTTGCCCAATGTTCAACGCGAGAGGCGCTCGAGGCGTCGACCACGAGCTCACAACAGGCATCAACTGCACGTCGACGAGCTTTCGTTCGCTCAAGAAATATGCTAACGTTACGGTACGTAATAGAGGTATGTGGCAGCCAAGGAGGCGAGTCACGGGACGTAACGCGACTTTATGCAGTGCATTCCAAAGCGCTAGGTGTCCATCCTTGAGTAGGCGTGTGAACGCGCGCCCCAGGCCACGCTAAACGAGACGAGGTCTCCACGACGCGTGGTCCATGTACGTTGCCGCCGCACACCACCACTGCTGCAGAATTCAACAACACATCCGCAACAGATGGGTGGTCGCGCGATTGTGCTGGGACGAAAGCTTTCATTTGGCTCGAGTATGCGGCCACGCAACGTCAACGATTCCTAGTCATTACGACCCGTAGCTCGAAGTGCCTTGCCGTCGCACGTTCGGTGTGTTTTGCGAAGTTCGAAGTTCAAGTACTGTAGCCAGGCCGTGACTCACGGCGCGCAGGTGTCCATTCGTAGGTGCAAGGGCGTACGAAGAAACGAGGTGCACTGGCTGTCTCCACTGCAGTTTTGTTGCCTCCGCGCTCACTTCTGACATGCGCCTTTCTGCATGTATCGCCGCCTTCGTGGCGGCCGCCGCCGCCGCCAGTGCCCTCGACCACCCCGAGAACCACGAGCGAATGCTCCGCGTGCTTGATGACGTGACAGTGGCGCCGACCGACGGTCCTACCGAGGCACCTGTTGAGGCACCTACGACGACACCTACGACGGACGCTCCCATCAAGGCGCCCACCGATGCGCCCACCGATGCGCCCACCGATGCGCCGAAGCCCACGGACGATCCTACCGAGGCGCCGACTGATGCTCCGAAGCCAACGAACGCTCCCACGGACAAACCGGAGCCCACGGACGCTCCGACCGACGCGCCAAAGCCCACGGACGCCCCTACTGATGCGCCGAAGCCGACTAACGCTCCGACGGATGCGCCGAAGCCGACTGACGCTCCAACCGACGCGCCGAAGCCCACGGACGCTCCGACTGATGCCCCGAAGCCCACGGACGCCCCTACTGATGCTCCGAAGCCCACGGACGCTCCCACGGACAAGCCGAAGCCTACGGATGCCCCGACCGATGCACCCAAGCCCACAGACGCTCCGACTGATGCGCCGAAGCCCACGGACGCCCCAACCGACGCGCCGAAGCCCACGGACGCACCGACCGATGCACCCAAGCCCACGGACGCTCCAACGGACAAACCGAAG